GGGTGGTAGTCTCACTAGGAGCGGGGGCCACGCCTAAAGCCGTGTCGGTGATGGGCAGGCGGCAACAGGGTGCAAGCCGGCCAAGCTGCCGCCGGTCGTCGCGAGCCACCTTGTGAGGGCCGCCTCGCCGGCTTCGGTCAGGATTTGGTCCGAGTTGGACAGGAACGCGATGAGCTTGAAGGGCGCGAGGCCGTCGTCCGAGAAGAGCGTGTCGTCGTTGGACACGGTCGCGTTGAACTGGCCCGAGTCGGTGCCGATGCGGACGATGGCGGCGCTCGCGGTCGGGATCGACTCGTGGTAGTAGCCTGCGGTCTGGGTGGGGCGCCGAGGAGTGTCAGCTCGGCGGCGAGGAGAGGGTTGGTGGGACGCACTTTGGTGTAGACGAGGATCTGCGGGACCGACTGGGCGACGGCGAGCAGTGCCAATGCAGGCAAGGCGAGTAAGCGCACGAGCATGGCGAGCGTGTGGCCGGACGAGAAGGTGAGGTCGAGCTGATGAAGACGAGGTGGGGTCCGGCTCTCCCTCGCCCAGCTCCCTCGACAGTGCAAAGCTGCGCTACAGCCCGCCGACATGGCTCACACGGTCCAGCACGGCACCCACACGCTGCGCGCCGGCAGCCCCACGCTCTCCTACGCCCTGCACCGTCCCACCGCCGCACCTCGACGAGCCGCTGCCCTCATCGCCCACCCGTACGGCCGCCTCGGCGGGTCCAAGGACGACCACGTCGTGCGCGCCCTCGCCGACCTGCTCGTCGACGAGGGGTTCCTCGTGGTTCGCTACGACGCTCGCGGCGCGGGCGAGTCCACGGGGAGCACGAGCTGGAGGTGCGTCCCCGCTTCTCTCTCTCTCTCTGTTCAGGCGTGCAGCGACGGCAAGGAGCTGACCTTGCTCGACCACCCCCCGACAGAGGCGCAGCTGAAGCAGCCGACTTTCGCGAGCTCGTCGACGACCTCGTCCTCCCGCTCCTCTTCCCTCGAGTCGCCGCGCCCTCCTCCTCGGCGACGACGTACGACCTGCTCCTGTGCGGCTACTCGTTCGGCTCGCTCGCCGCCTCGTCGTCCCCGCCGCCCGCCGCACCGACCTCGGCCCCCGCCGCCGCCGCCGCCGCCGCCGCCGCCTCGAGCACCCTCCGCACGTCGTACCTCCTCCTCAGCTACCCGCTCTCGGTCCTCTGGGCCCTCACGGCCCTCCACCCCGGGCCCGCGACCACCGCGCTCCGATCGCTCGTCGAGCGCGGCGAGGCGCGCGTCCTCGCCGTCCACGGGACGAGGGACGACTTCTCGGGCGTCGAGCGGCTCAGGCGGTGGGCGGCCGACTTCGAGCGTGCGGCTCCGGCGCGGGGGCAGGCAGAGGGACTGTGGCGCGCGGTCGAGGTCGAGGGGGCGGACCACTTTTGGCGCGACGGCGAGAGCAAGAGCGAGATGCTCGAGGCGGTGCGAGGGTGGGTGCGAGAAGGGGTCGCGCGGCCCGGTATGGAATGACTTGACGGGGACGGCGTGCGAGTCAAAGAGCAGGGCAGTGTGAAAGAGAGCTGGAAAGCTCGTTGCGAGAAGAGACGCGACCAAGTGGGGCTGCAACCGCCTCTCGCCGTCGGCCGGCTCCTCGTCGCTCCCTCTCTGCAAACCCTCGACGCCCACCACTCGAGCAGCTCGCGAGAGCTCCCGCCACCCAGCTCCAGCCACTCTCTTCGAGCTACCGCCGTCCAGCCCAACCCGCGCCCACCGCCTCCCCGCCCTCCTCGCCGCCTCATCAGCTCCGAGCCCCGCGTCCACCACCATGCCGCCCAAACGACCCATCGAGGTCATCCAGCTCGACAGCGACTCGGACGACGACACACGCCCTGCACCGCCGCCTCCGCCTCAGCTGGGGCGCGACGCGGGCGGGAGCGCCGCCGCCGGAGGACGGTTGGACGACGACGCGCGCGAGGAGCAGGAGGAGGACGCGGCACTCGCGCTCGCGATACGGCTCTCGCTCGAGGAGGAGGCAAGGCGCACCGCAGCGGCGGGCGGCTCGGCGGCGGGTGGCAGCGCGGCCGGCGGAGCGACCTCGACCTCGAGCGGCGGCGGCATCGGCGCAGTGAGCGACCGCGCCGACCTCGAGCGGCAGCGGCTCGCGCGCCAGCGGGCGAGGGGCGATGCCGCGCCGCCGACGGTCAAGGTCGCGTCGACGAGCTGGGGTCCGGGCGGCGGTGGTGCGAGCGCGGGCCGGGGCGGGCGCGTCAAGACGTTCGCCGACCTGCTCGCGCCGGACGACGACGACGACGACGTCGCTGCCAGCTCGACCTCGAGCACCCGCCCGACCACGTCCACCGCGCCGTCGCACAAGCACTCGCACCGGTTCTGGCGCGGCGCCGTCAAGCGCGTCCCGTCCAAGTTCCACCCGGACCGGGACTCGTACTCGTTCGCCGACCTGATCGGGTCGCGCTCGACGCTCCAGGCCGCCGTCGTGTCGGCCTACGTGTCCGAGCCCGAGTGGGTCGTGTCGCACTTTGGCGACGAGACGCCGCTCCTGCTCGTCCAGGCGCGCCTCGAGGGCGACTCGCAGCCCGCGCTCGCCGTGTGCTCGCTCAAGCCCAACACGTTCCGCGTCGTGCCAAAGGAGCGACTGAGCGGGCCGTACCCGGGCGTCATGCACACCAAGCTCATGGTTCGTCGTTTGTCGTCGTCGCGCTTTCGGGCATTCTCTTTCCCTGTCTTCGCGCAGCGGTGCCCTGACTCGCCCCCTCGCGCCGCAGATCTACTACCACGACGAATACATGCGCGTCGTCATCCCGACGGCGAACGCGGTCCCCTACGACTGGGACACGATCGACAACGCCCTGTTCGTCGTCGACTTTCCCTACGCCCCGAGCGACGTCAAGGACCCGTTCAAGAACGAGACGCACACCCAGTTCTCGCGCTCGTTCCTCCAGGTCTGCTTCAGTGCGTCCCCCTCGTCTCTCCTTCCCCCTCTTTTGGGTCGTGTCGCTCGCCTCACCGACTGACACGCGCCCTGCCCCTCGCCTCACCTCGGCAGCGCTCGACATCCCCAAGCGCTTCGTCCAACCCGCGTCGCAGTACGATTTTTCGGCGTCGTTCGACGTGCGCCTCGTGCACTCGACCCAGGGCAAGTACGTCCTCGCGCGCGACGAGAAAAAGGGCGGCGGCCTCGCGAGCCTCGCGAGCGCCGTCCAGGCCTTGGGCTTTGCGCCGGGCGGGACGTGGGAGCTCGAGGCGACGGGCTCGTCGATCGGGCGCTACACGCCCGCGTGGCTGTCGCAGGTCCTCGGCGCGTGCGCGGGCGTCCTCCCGTCGAGCTACTTTGGCGCAGGAAAGGGCCGCACCGCACCGCCGCAGTACCCGGTGCCGCCGACGGGTCAGCCCGTGCGCCTCCCGATCAAGATCGTGTTCCCGACCGAGGACGAGATCACGGGCTCGTTCAACGGCGCGCCGGTCCGTCCCCCCCTTTCTCTCCTCTGTCGGCCCGAGTCGCGCCAAGCGTCGCACTGACGCTCTCGGCGCCCGTGCACAGGGAGGCGGGACCCTGTTCTGCCCGGTCAAGACGTGGGACGCCAAGGGCTTCCCGCAGCACCTGTTCCACCGCGGGCAGAGCAAGCGCGCGCGCGTCGCGGCCCACACCAAGATCCGTGCGTCGCCTCGCTCCCCTCGCCGGCCATTCTCTTTCCCCTCGAACGAGACCTGACGATTTGCCGAACTTGGCCTGCACAGTCCTCGGGCTGCAGAAGTGGCCGGCGGGCGCACCCGAGCCGAAAGAGCACGGCGGGTGGATGTACCTCGGGTCGCACAACTTGTGCGTCCTCCTCTTTCTCTTTGTCTTCCTCGACGTCGCAGCTGCGGCGGCACGAGCTCACAGTATTGCCTCGCGACGCAGCACGAGTGCCGCCTGGGGCCGGCTCGAGAACGGCTCGAGCGGGCCGACGCTCGCCATCAACAACTACGAGCTCGGCGTGGTCCTCCCGAGTGCGTCCCCTCTTCTCCCTCTCAGCATCACTCGGCGCAGCGCAAGCAGTCACTGACAGCCCTTTGACGGCCCGCCGCAAGTCCGCGCCAAGTCGGCCGCCGAGCTCGAGCAGAAGGCCTCCGACCTCGTCACGTTCCGCCGCCCGCTCAGCCGGGTGCGTGCCCTCTCTCTCTCTCCTCCCTCCCGCGCGCCTCTCGACGAAGACGCACGAGACTGACTCTCTCAAGCTCGCAGTACTCGCCGGGTGAGCGACCGTGGCAGCAGGAGCGTTTCCTCTGAGTCGCCCTCGTTCTCGCGCTTTGACCTCTGCCGTACCCTCTCTGTTGTTGCACTCGCGCCCGCTTTACACTCTCTCTACTCTTCTCTCGTGAGAGCCTGCACGTCGAGAGATTTCGCGAGAGCAAAGCGCACATCAAGCGTTGCAGAGCACCCTCAGTCGAGCTCCAGCACCTCGGTCCTCCCCTTCCTCCCTCCCGCGCTCGCACTCGCCCGAGCCCCACGCGCCGCAGTCCTCACCGACGCCCACCCGTCGTCGTCCATCGCGCCATCGCTGCTCGGTTCGAGCGCACGCGCATGCTCAAACGCCTCGAGCTCCTCGTCGTCGACCGCGCCGCCGAAGCGCCCCGCCCCGGCGTCCCACTCGTCACCGGGCCCGTCCTCGTCCTCGTCCTCGGCCTCGTCGTCCGTCTCGACAGGCGGGGCGATCTTCTTGCGCTTCTTGGCGCCGCTCGCTCCACCCGTCGCCGCCGTCGCAGCCGGCGCCTTGCGCTTCTTGGCGCCGCCGCCCGAGCCCGAGCCGGCGACGAGGACGTCGATCGAGAGCGAGACGGGCAGGTCGGCGGCGGACGAGACGGACGAGGGGTCGAGGCGCGTAAGGCGGATGGCGCGGGACGAGGGGCGGACGTAGGCGTTGACCGAGTAGGCGGCTGTGGCGGGGGGAAAGGCGAGGGCATTTTTGGTCAGAGGGCGCGAACAACGAGGGTGAGGGAGGTCGACAGGAAGAAAAAGGGAGAGAAAGAGGTAAAAAGAGAGGGAGGAGGGAGAGGGAGACAGTGGGAGAGGGAGAGACAGAGAGAGAGAGGCGAGGGACGCACTCGCGTGAAACTCCTCCTGGAGCCGCCCCTCGACGAGGAGCATGAGCAGCATCTGCTCCGTCTCGTCCTTGCTCAGCTCGACCTTGCCACCCGCCTCAGCCTTGACGTCGACCTTGCCCTTGCCCTTGCTCTTGGCCTCCTGCGTCGAGAAGGTCCCGCCGCCGTTGCCGCGCACGAGGTCGGCCGCCTGCGGGAGCGTGAGTGTGCCGCGCTGCGCCGTCGCCGCCGAGATGATGCGCAGTGCGCGGTACGCTGAGAGCGAGACGTCGACGGTCGAGACGGTGGCCGGGTCGCGCAGGCACTGCGAGGAGGGAGGCAGAGAGGTCAGGACGGGACGCGAAATTGCGAGGGGGAAAGGAGGCTGCGCACGTTGTCGCACTGACCGCAGGGAGCGTCGCCGTCCTCGTCGTCGGCGTCAAAGGCGGTCCCGGCATCGTACGTCGACGCAAAGTAGCGCGCAAACAGGACCTTGCGGCACGTCTTCTTGTCCTCGGCGTACTCGATGACCTCGTACAGCTTCTCCTTGCCGCCGCTCGAGAACGTGTCGTACGTAAGGGTCGACAGGCGCGAAGCGTCGGCGGCGCGGAAGAACGTGATGCAGTCGGCGGGGCGGCCGTCCCGGCCGGCGCGCCCGCTCTCCTGGTACATGTTGGCGAGCGACTTGGGGAGCGCGTGGTGGACGACGTAGCGCACGTCGGCCTTGTCGATCCCGAGGCCGAACGACGCGTTGGTCGCGACGACGACCTGGATGCGGCCCGAGCGCCACTGGTCGTGCACGCGCTGCTTCTCGGCGTCGTCGATGTAGGCGTGATCTGCAAGGGGGACAAACACGTCAGGTCGGGCTACAGCGGGCAGTTGTGAACGAGGACGAGGAGGCAAAAAGGGAAAGAAGGGAGGGGAGGAAGAGGAGGACGCACAGACGGCGGCGCGCAGCTTGCCCTTGGCCCGAGCGCTCGAGTTGATGCCCTTAGTGATGTTTTCGGCGTCGGCGCGACTGAGCGAGTAGATGATGCCGCTTTCGCCGCCGGCGTGGTGCTCGAGGATCCAGTCGACGATGGCCTCGAGCGCGACCTGCACGCTGGCGGGCTTGGCGACGACGCTGTAGCGCAAGTTGGGGCGGTACAGGGGCGCGCTGAACAGGACGGTCGTCTTGGGGAGAGCGGCGTTGCCGGGCGAGGTGCGCGGCGAGAGGCCGAGGATCTTGAGCATGTCGGCGACGACGTTCTTGGGCGCCGTCGCCGTGACGGCGAGGATCGGGATGCGCGGGAACAGGACGCGCAGGCGCTGCAGCGACAGGTAGCCCGGGCGGTAGTCGTGGCCCATCGAGCTCAGGCAGTGCGCCTCGTCGATGACGAACCGGCTCAAGAGGCCGGCGTCGTACGCCTTCTGGAGCGTGTTGACGAACGTCTTGCTCTTCTCGACGCGCTCGGGCGTCACGTAGACGAGCTTGAGCGGCTCGGCGTCGTCATCTTCGTCGTCGAGGGCGGCCTTCTTCTTGCCCTTGCCCTTGGGCGCTGCCGCCGCGCCGAGCATGCGCTTCATGACGCGCTTGATCTCGTCCTGCGACGCCGACGCGTGGATCGCGGCCGCCGCGATGTCGCGCTCGAGGAGGTTGTGGACCTGCGCACGTAGCGAGGCAGAGTGAGCAGGGGGGGCTGAGGGAGTAGGGCAGGGAAACGGGGGCGCACCTGGTCCGACATGAGCGAGATGAGCGGCGTGATGACGACCGTGAGGCCGGGCGACAGGAGCGCCGGGACCTGGTAGATGAGCGACTTGCCGCCGCCGGTCGGCATGACGGTGACGACGTCGCGCCCGTCCATGGTCGCGTTGATGGCGCCCTCCTGCGCCATCCTCCAGGCCGTCACGCCCCACACGTCCTTGGCGAGCTCCTTGGCCTCGCGCGACCACGAGTAGGCGTCCGACAGCGTGTAGTCGACGGCAGATGCTGCAACCTTGGCGACGGGTGCGGCACCGGGGCGGCGAGTCGGCGCGGCGCTCGACTTGCGGCTGGCGATGGTGGCGAGGAGCGTGTCGCGCTCGGTGTGGATCTCGGCCTGGAGCTTCTTCAGGTTGCGGATCTGCTTGTCGAGCGAGTCGAGCTCGGCGGCGAGCTGCTCGAGCTTGTCGTGCTCCTCGGGGGCGGCACCGTCGTCGTCCTGGTCGTCGCCCTCGTCGCCGCTCAGGAACAGCTCGTCGGGCGGCGCACGGCTACCAGCCGGCTTCATGGTGATCTGGAAGCGTGCGGGCAGTCCTGCTTGACGGTCGGTGGGACGAGGTGTCGAGGTTGGGCGCGGGCGAGGCGAGGAGGCGGTTGAGCGAGGTCGGGTCGGCGAGTACGGCGTGCACAGCGGTGCTGGGCGGCGTGGGTCGATGTACGGCTAGCTCTGAGCGCAGTGTAGGCTACTCGCGTCGTCGCGAGGCGTGTGGGTGGAGGTAGAGGGCGCCTCTCCTCTTCCTCATCTCTTGCACCGCCTCGAGCGTCCTGTCTCTCGCACTGGCCGCCGGTGTTACTCCGTGTCCCTCGTTCAGAGGCTCTTTCAGAGGCTCAAGAGATGCGCCAGAGCCGCCACAGCCTGCACCGGCTCATTCTCGGCGAAGGAAGAGAGCTTGAGCAGCTCGCGAGAGCTCGTGCACGAGCTGAATACCAAGTCCGAATACGAGCGAGGTTACAAGTGAGCTAGTTCAGGAGAGGCCCCAAGCGGCAACTCGGGCGAGCTGCCTGAGCCGTCGGCCGTTTCGGCTGGCGCTTCCCCCGCGCGCCTCCTCCTCTTTTGCTCCCTCTCAACCTCGCTCCTCGTCCGCACAGCTCGCGAGACTCGCGCTTGCTTAATGGCTCCGCAGCGTCCAAAGCCTACCGATGCCGCAGTACTGCCCGACGCCGCGCTTGCTCCACCACCTCGATCGCCCCGGCAACTCGACGACATCGAGCACGCGGTCGGCGACGACGGCGCGCCGGTGGACGCGGTCGACTCGCGCAAGACGGTCAGCAGCGACACGGTCGTCGAGGAGGATGCACGACCAGCACCGGTGGTGGACGAGCATGGTGCGTCCCCCCTTCCCCTTGGTCGACTCAAGCACCGCGAGGGATTGTCGGCTGACCTCGCGCCATCGTGATCTTCCCTGCAGTCATCCCCGAGAACAACCTGCTCATCGTCATGTTCAGGTACGTCCACGCCTCTTCTCGAGTGCGCCCTGGTCCGCGAGCGCGCGGACCGCTTCTCGAGCCCGCAGACTGACCCACGTCTTTCCTCGCGGTCACAGCCTCGCCCTGACGACGTTCCTCGCCGCCCTCGACTCGACCGCCGTCGCGACGGCGCTCTCGACGCTGCAACGAGAGCTGGACGGTACCGCCGCCTCGCTGTCGTGGGTCACGGGCGCCTACCTCCTCATGATCACGGCGTGCGCGCCCATCTACGGCAAGCTCTCTGACGTGAGTCTCGCCCTCCCCTTCTTTGTCATCGGGAGCGCACACTCGTCGCGCACCGGCCTGACCCTCTCCTCCTGCCCTTCTTCGCCACGCAGTACTACGGCCGCAAGTGGGTCTTGTACATCTCGATCGTCATCTTCATGATCGTGCGTCGCTGCCTGTTTCTCCTTCCAAGTGTTCGTGTGACCGGCACAGGCTCGACAACCCGAGGCTAACCGTTCTCTTCCTCCCCAGGGCTCGGGCCTCTGCGCCGCCGCACAAAACATCCTCTGGCTCTGCATCTGTCGAGGAGTGCAAGGCGTCGGCGGCGGCGGCATCCTCCAGATGGTCAACATCGTCGTCGGCGACATTACGCCGCTCGAGACGCGCGGCAAGTACAGCGGCGCGATCGGCTCGTGTTGGGTGCGTGGCCTCTTTTCCTCGACGGCGGTCGCGTCGCCTCCGTAGAGTCTCTTGAGCGTCCGACTGACTCTTCTCGTGTCGCACAGGGCATCGCCGCAGTACTGGGCCCGCTCGGTGCGTCGTCCGGCCCTCACTCGCTCGGCGTTCCTCCTCCTGACCGTCCTCCTCACCCAGTCGGCGGCGCTCTGTCGCAGTACGCGAGCTGGAGGTGGTTGTTCGGCATCAACATTCCTTCGGGAATCGTCGCCTTGGCGCTCCTGTTCTTCTACCTCAAGCTCAACCCGCACACGCCGCCGACGGCCGCCTACCTCCTCTCGACCTTCGACTTCCTCGGACTCGGCCTTCTCATCTCGGGCCTCGCCATCCTCCTCGTCGGCTTCACGTTCGGCGAGCAAGGCTGGGGCCGTGCACGCACCATCGCCTGCCTCGTCGTCGGCGCCGTGACGCTCGCCGCCGCCATCGTCGTCGAGCTCAAGACGACCCGGAGCCCGATCATCCCGCCGAGGATCTTCAAGCTCAAGACGGCGGCCGCGTTGCTTACCGGCGTCTTCGTACAGTCGTTTGCTTTCAACGGTCTAGCCTACTATCAACCTTTGTGGTTCCAGGTTACAGGCTCGTCGCCGGTGCGCCCCGAACCCTCTCTCTCTCTCTTTGCGTCACGCGTCGCTGCAGCATCGACTGACCTTTCTCGTTGCGTGCAGCTCATGGCAGGCGTTCTGCTCATTCCCTTCTCGGTCGGCACGGCCCTGTTTGGCGTCATCTCGGGCTTCCTCGCCGCTCGGGTGCGTCCGACCTTCCTCCCTCTTCCTCTCCCTCTCTCCCTCTCCCTCGCCGCTCCCTCCCTCTCGGCCTCTCAATTGAGCCGACTCATCGTGAGCACGCACTGACCCCATTCCCTTTCCTAACGCGCCGCAGTGGCGGCGCACCAAAGAGCTCATCATCGCCTCGTACCTGTTTGCGACGCTGGGCTACGCCCTCCTCGCGACGCTCGACGAGTCGTCGAACCGCGCCTCGCAGATGCTCTACCTCCTCGTCGCGGCCCTCGGCGTCGGCCCCTTGTTCCAGCTCCCGCTCCTGCACCTCCAGGCCGCCATGCCCGTCAAGGACCTCGCCACCTCGACGGCGACGCTCGCGCTCCTGCGCTCGGTTGGCGGCACGGTCGGGATCGCGGTCGCGGGCGCCATCTACGCGAGCAAGCTCCGCAGCGGGCTCGAGGGGATCGAGGGGTGGGCAGGGTACGCGGCGAGGAACGGGAGGGGTCAGTCGAGTGCGGCAGGGTCGGTCGAGGGGCTCACTGAGATCGAGGTGCGTCAACGGGCTCGAGCTCTTCTTCCTCGCTCTCTCTGTCTTCCCTCCACTCCTTTCTCGACCACCCGGACCCCCGGACCTGACCTGACCTCTCTGGTGCGCCGACAGCCGCCCGAGTTGCGCCAGGAGGTCCTCCACGCCTACACGCGCAGCCTGTCGTACCCCTGGGTGCGTCCTCTCCCTCTCTCCCTCCCTCCCTCGCCTCGCCTTCCTCCCTCTCGGCCCCTCGCTCACGCCGCACGAACCTCCCTCGCCTCGGCAGATCATCGCCGCGCCGCTCCTGTTTGTCGGCCTCGTCGCGTCCGTCGTCGGCATCAAGCACTACTCGATGAAGCGTGCGACGGTGCGCGCGCCGGAGGAGGTCAAGGGCAAGAAGAACAAGTCGAGGGACGACGCCGCCAAGGAGAAGAGGAGGAAGGGCGACGAGGTAGAGCTCGAGGGGGACCAGAAGGTTGACGAGGAGAGCGCTTATAAGTCGCTAGAGCTGTAGCTGGGGACGAGTACCATGGGCATGGAGCGCATCTTTTGTATCGAATAGAGACCGGATTCCTCTCTCTCTCGCGCGCTTTCCTCGGGCTCTCCTTCTCGACGAGTGAACCAAGAGAGGCAATGCGCGAGGCGCGGCATAAAGTGCAAGGTACGAAGAGGGGGAGAGGCAAAAAGGGGAGAGAGCTCGAGTCGGGCGAGAAAGGCGAAGGAGGAGGGTGCGGGAAGGGGAAGCTACAGCCAGAGGGAGGCGCACAGGACGAGGGAGCGAGGTAAAGACAACAGGGTGAAGGCTGGATACACGAGATGAGGGACGAGTCGATGAGAGGAGGGAGGTGTGCGCGGTCACTGGACGTCGGCTGCGCGAGGCGGGAGCGTCAGGGCTGCTCGGACGAGCGGGAGGAAGAGGACGAGGCGCTCGCAACGCACTAAAGAGGGCCTTCTCGAGGATGTGCTTGCCCTCCTTGTACTTCTGGTTGGCCTCGTACGCCTTGTCTGCGAGCGTGCGCGAGGCAGAGTGAGCTCGACACGCGAGGAAGGCTCGTGGTCGAGAGGGAGGGAAAGGGTCGAAGCGCACCGTACTTCCAGCCGAGGACCTCGCCGCACTTTGCGCACATGATGTCGCGCACCGTGTGCAGGCCCGTCGTCATCGGCCGGTCCTCTGCGGGCCCGCAGGTGATGTTGACGCTGCGCGCGAGGAGGGAAAGGGTGAGTTGGCCGAGGACGCGAGGTGGCGGCTCGGCGAGGAGAGGTCGGGACACGCACACAGAGGTGAAGAGGTACGCCCGGCCGTGCTGGCCGTTGAAGTTCTGCGTGCAGAGCGAGTGTGAGCGAGTTGTCGAGACGGTTCCGTCCCCCACATGCCGCGCTCGTCGAGGGTCCGTCTCGCGCCTGGCGACGGCAACGAGAGGGCACACCGTCGCACGCAGAGCCCGGGATAGAGTGCAGGGAGAGGCTGGACGCACCTTGGACTCGATCTGCTCGCTCGTGGTGAGGTGGGTCCTGCACCGTCGGCATCCAAAGACTTTGCCGCCGGTGCTGCTCGTCAGGTACTCTCGGTGCGCGAGTCCCATGGCTGGCGGGGATGGTGCAGCGTGTCGGACTGCGGCGAGCGTGCTTCTGGGCGAGCTCGAGGTGTGGGAGGGGACGAGAGAGGTCGAGAGCGGCGAGCCGAGGGGAGCGACTCGGTCGACCGCTCGAGCTGGTACTTGGTCGGGCTTATGATGCTCGTGAAAGAATTCAGACGGTACTACAGCCACGCTCGCACCAACCAAAGCGAGTCGAGCTGGTGCGGTCTCATCGGCTCTCCTCCTCGTCTCCTCCTCCTCCTCCTTCCCCACCCTCGTCGCCCTCGGCACCGGCTGCTGTACGGGCCTCTGCCGCTGCATGACGGGGCAGAAGCGCCACCTGCCGCACTCTGGCAACCCGCCCTCGTCCTCGTCAAAGCGCCGCAAACCCTCGACCCAAGTCGTCGACCTCACCGGGGACAGCGACGACGACGACCACCGCCTCGAGCCTGCGCCCAGTCCGGCCCGCGCTTGGATCCCGCCGTGGAAGGACCTGTTCACGCTCGGCCTCGAGGCGTTCAAGGCTCTCGCCGCCGCCAACAAGCAGGGTGCGTCTTCGCCGTGTTGTTTCGCCGGCTCCTCGGGTCGTCCTCGCTCCTGCAGAGCGCAGTCACTCACGCGAGTCAAGCCCACAGGCTCGACACCAAACGTCAAGCAGCCGCCCCGCGCCAACGGCCACCCACCGCTCCCTTCTCCTCGCCAGCTCTCGTCGCCCCGCGTCCGACCCGACCGCCTCCGCGCCCTAAAGCGCGAGTACGCGAGCGAGTACGCCAAGCTCCAGGAGCGGCACTTCGTCCTTAAGAAGGCGCACACGTACGACACGATGGAGGCCAACGCCCAGGGTCACGACGTCGTGCCGCCCAAGCCGCAGGAGATGATCGACCTGGAGGACCGCATGAGGGCGCTCCTGGTCGAGAAGAAGAAGCTGCGGCAGCAGGCCGCCGAGGACGACGGGGCGAGCTCGATGGCGGAGGGCATGTCGGGCTACCAGCGCAGGGAGCCCATGGGCAGCGACAAGGTGCGTCCCTCGACTCTCTCCCTCTCTCCTTCCACACCATGCGGATGGCCCTGATTGCGCATACTGACAGACACACAAGCAACCCTCGTCCACTTCTCGTCGTCCTCCACGACCCGCCCCTCCTCCCCTGCCCGCCCCGACCGCTCGACCCTCCTCGCCGCCTGCCCCGTCCGTCACCCGTCTCCCTCAACCTCGTCCCGCCGCCACGACTTTCGCCTCGACCTCAACTTCCTCTTCGACCTCGGCGCGCATCCCTCGTCCCCCTTGGTCCCTCGACTACGACCCCGACGCCCCTCGCTCGCCCTCGCCGCCCTCGCCGCCGTCGCCCGCACCCTCCCTGCCGGCCTCCCCGCCACGCCGCATCCGCCCGGCCGTCCAACAGCACAAGCGCGCCATCGCCGAGCGCGACGCGAGCACGCTCGCGAGCTTGCGCACCCAGGCGCCGTCGAGCGTGGGCACGGGCAGGGGCGGGTGGGCGGCCGGCGACGAGGACGAGCTTGATGCGGATGCGCCCGAGGCCGAGGACGACATCGAGCAGAAGCTGTACGGCGCGATGCTCGAGAGCGGGCTGCAGCAGGAGCAGGCCAAGCATGGTGCGTCGCCGCGGTTTCCTCTCGTTCTTCCTCCCCCCCGTCGTCGAGAGGAACGATTGCCTGACCTGGTTCTCGCCTCGCACAGACGCCATCTCTCGCGCCAACCCCTCACGGCGCCCGGCTCGCCTCCAGGTCGGCCGCTCGGTGTCGGGCATCGTCGGCCAGTCGGCGCTCGACCTCGGCAGCAGCCTCTTCCCCGGCCCGACGCCGTACGGCCTGCGCTCGCCCGCTTTCCCGAGCACTACGACGCCCCCCTCGTCCGCCACCACGGCGCGTTCCGCGCCCGGCGCGCGCCGCCGCTCGTCCGACTTCGACCGCGTCCTCGCGACGGCCAAGGCGACCCTGGACGAGCCGATCGCCCGCGAGCTCGACGCGTTCGAGCGGTTCGACCGCCTTCGAGAAGAGCTCAAGGCGGCCGACGAGGCGTCCAAGGCGCTCGAGGCGGTGCCCAAGGTCAAGAAGCGCAAGGTGCGTCTCGCGCTCTCCTTCTTTCCCCTCGTCCCTCGCGAGCGAGCGTCCTGACCTTTGTCGAGCCCGCGCCCGCAGTTCCCCAAGGAGCTCTCTCCCGGGGACGCCGCTCGCGTCAAGGCCATCTTCAGCACTGCGCGCTACGAGTCGAGCACGCCCGGCGCGGCCGCGTCGCTCAAGGACCTCAAGCGGCTCCAGGGCCTCTCGTGGCTCAACGACGAGCTCGTCAACTTTGTCGGGGTCCTCATCAACCAGCGCAGCGACGCGGCCGACAAGGTCGAGGCGGCGGGCGGCTCGAGGGGCGAGGGCCCGACGAGGTTGAGGAAGGCGTTCGTGTTTAACACCAACTTTTTCACGTGGTACGGCGACTCGGGCTTTGCCAAGGTCAAGCGGTGGACGCGCAGGGTGCGTCGCCCTGTTTCCCCTCTCGCCCTCTTTGCGGCCCGCCTCGAGGTCGCGAGACTGAACCCTCCCTCTCCTTCCTTCCTGCCCCGCCCCGCCGCGCAGTTCGACACGTTCGAGAAGGACATCATCATCGTCCCGATCAACCACAACAACTCGCACTGGTGCTGCGCCGCCGTCAACCTCAAGCTCAAGCGCTTCGAGTACTACGACTCGTTCGGCAAGCCCGCCGCGTTCGTCTACGAGGTGCGTCGGCCTGGGTCTCTCTCTCTCCTGCTCGAGCCGCTCGCCCTGTGGCGGGTGCCTTGATCTAGTGACAGATCATGACGCACTGACGCACGCTCTCTCGCCCGCAGCGCCTGCGCAACTGGCTCGTCGAGGAGCACCGCAACCGCAAGAAGAGCGAGATTGACCTGAGCGACTGGACCGACTACTGGTACGAGGTGCGCACTCGTCTCGCTCTCGGTCTCTCTCGCACGTCGCACGTTCGACGAGACTGATTCATCGCCTTCTTTGCGTGCGCAGGACGTCCCGCAGCAGCAGAACGTGAGCGACTGCGGCGTCTTCACCGTGCGTCCCCCCTCTTTCTCTCCCTCCCTTTCACCTGACACTCACTGACCATCGTCGACTCGACGCCCCGCAGTGCATGTTCATGGAGTCGCTCTCGCGCGACGTCGACTTTTTCGACTTTACGCAGAAGAACATGCCCTAGTACGTCGCGGCAGCCTGTCCCTTCTCCTCCTGCGCCTCATGCCTCAACGAGACAAGTGACTGATGCATCAGTTGGACATGCGCACAGCCTGCGCAACAAGATGGTCCTCCAGATCGACAAGCGCGACCTGCTCGACGTCGAGCCGTGGGTCTAGCTTCGCGAGGCCGGTCGCGCAGGACGAGGGCGGGCAGCACGGAGGGGGAACAGCTTGTACAGGGCGTGTGTGCTGTGCATGTTGTACTATCGCTTGCAGTGGTACTCTTTGCAAAGCAGAGAAGCAGGTCCGGCTCGAGTTCGTCGCGTCTCTGTGCGTCGAGGACAAAGAGAGGCTCGAGCGCTCGACCCGGTCTCTCTCGCGCAAGCTTCCCAGGCCTGACACACGCTCGAGAGAAGCACAGACTGCACTGCACAGACAGAAGCTCGACGACCCCTCGACCGCCCGCACGTTCCTGCTCAGACGGCGAGCCACTTGGCCGCAATCGCCCTCGCGAGGTCGGCCCGGTCGGCCATGATGTACAGCAGCCACAGGTTGTACGCCGCCGCCTTTGCGACGCCCGACTGCGCCGCCTCGAGCGCACGAGCCGTCGGGCTCGGCTCGGCGTCGCCGTCGGTGGCGTCGACGGGCATGGCGTCGGTCGAGGTCGAGACGATCGAGAGGACCTTGCGGTAGTGGTCGACTGCTCGGCCTTGAATGCCTGCGATAGAGCGTCGTCGTCAGTATCGCGCTCATGTAGACGAGCGACAGAGGCGCAGGAGAGAGGAAGAGAGAGGGGGGGACGGACCGAGGTGATGGAACGCGCGCGCCAGGTTGAACTCAGTCTCGGCGCACTCGCCGCGCAGCTTGCTGTACTCGTTGAGGAACGCAAAGGCCTGTGGATGGACCGTGACCAAGAGTCAGTCACGCCGTCGACGAGAGAGGCGAGCCGGACGAGGCAATGTCGGTCGACGCACCTGCGCGACCTGGTGCTGGCGGTTGTCCGTCTTGCGCGACATGGCCCTCTGCAGGTACGCGACGGCGAGCGAGAGCTTGATGAGCGGCTGCTCTGGGTCGAGGGCGTCGGCGCGCAGGTAGTAGACTGCGACGAGGCGTTCGAGGGGAGGGTCAGTGCGCTGCGGGGGGGAACGAGGACGAGAGAAAGGGGGCGACGCACTGATGGCGTTCTGGTAGCTGCTCGACGTGAGGAGCATGTGGCCGTACGTCGCAAAGAGGACAGGGCTGAGCTTGGTGGGCTCGAACGCGCCGGCCCTGCGCGCCTCCTCCTCGTCCTCGTCCCGCGCATCGGCATCGGCATCGCCGTCCTCGTCCGCCGCCTGCGGCTCGACGGCGCGCCCTTTGCCCTTGCGGCTCACGACCGGGCTGCTGCTCCTCGCGCCGTCTGCGTCGCCCGACGCGCCGCCTTTGCCGACGACCCGGGCGACCGTGTGCTTGAGCTGGCGGAGGAAGAACTTGACGAGGCGCGCGTCGTTGAACGCCTCGACGGCCGACGCGTGCTTCGACAGGATGACGTGCAGGAGGCGAACGGGCTCGACCTCGTACTGGCGGCCGAGGAGGAACCAGCGCAACTCCTTCTGCGCCTGCTCGAACAGGCCGGCGTGGACGTAACAGGCTGCGGGCGTTCGTCAAGTCAAGGACGTCCGGGAGAACGAGAGGCGCGAAAGAGGGACACACCGATGAGACCGAAGCGCAGAGCGCGCTCGCGCGCCTCTTCTTGACGAAAGACGCCCGCCTCGCGCACGTGCAGCAGGACCTCGGCGGCGAGCTCGATCTCGTCGACCAAGGCGAGGCGGAACGCAAACTGCACGTCGCTCGAGTCAGTTCTGGTATTCAGAGAGGTGAAAGAGAGCGAGAGAGGGGGCGCACCTTGAGGAGAAAGTCGACCCAGCCGTCAAAGTCGAGGCCTCGGAAGCTCGTCTCCTCGACCTCGTTGTCCTCGTCCGAGACTGCGCGTGGTCGTGGGTCAAGGCTTATCCACGAGTGGACCGAGAGAGAGAGAGAGAACGAGGGACGCACTGAGCGAGCGCTGAAGCCGGTTGGCCATGTGGTCGGCCTCCTCCTCGACCTCGACCTGCTGGCTCCTCTTGCCGCGCCGCCGGTACCGGAACATGCCGGTAAACTTGCGCTTGAAGTCGCTCGGGAACAGCTGGGTCGTGCTGCGGAACGAGTCGACGAGGCCCGTCGCGAGCTCGAGCCACTGGTTGAGCGCCTCGTCGTCGCCCTCGAGGACGCCCTCGTCGAGCTCTTGCAGGCGCGAGAACGCAATCTGGAACTCGGCGTGGCGGTCATGCTCGACGTTCTCGCGCCGGATGCGCGCGGCTTGGCGCTCCTCGCGCGACAGGTATGGGCGGCGGCGGCGCTTGCCGTCGGCGTCGACCTCGACCTCCTCAGAGTCGTCGCGTTCGGCCTCGCGGCGCGAGATGACTGTGGCCGCAGGAGAGTCAGTATCCGGCGTGCAGGAGAAATGGACAGGTGGAGAGAAGGTCCTCACCCTCCTTGATGAGGACGAGCGCGCGCTGCGGGTCGCCACACTGCTCGAGGCACTTGGCGAGCGCGAGCTTGGCCTCGAGGTTGGCCGGCTCCTCGGCGACGACTGCGTGCAGAAGAGCCTAGGTCAGTCGAGGCCGTGATGGTGAGAAGAAAAGCGGGCTGAGGGCGTACCGTTCTCGAAGCACTCCCTCGCGTCGTCGAGGGCGTTGAGCGCCTGGTAACACTGGCCGACCTTGAACCACACCGTCGGGCTGTTCGTCTGTACAAGGTGAAGCATCAGGTCCTGCTCGTCGACGAGGGAAGGTCGAAGTTGAGAGAGAGAGCGAGATGGCGGACGGACCTCCTCGTTGTCGGTGAGCTGGAGGTACACGTTGAGCGCCTCGTCGCACATGCGGCGCGCAAAGTAGGAGTCGCCGATCGCGCCAAACAGCTCGGGGAACTCGGCGGCGTCCTCGGACGTGACAATGTCGAAGTGGCGCTGCGCGCGCGAAAAGAGTCAGGGCGTCGGTCGAGGCGGAAGGAGAGGAGGGCGAGAGAGACGCACCTGCGCCTCGTCGAGCATGCCCATGCCGAGCCTTGCAAGCCCGAGCCGACTCCTGAGGCGCACGTCGAGCTCGTACAGGTTGGCGTCCTCGAAGCCCATGGCCGACGTCTCCCACCCAGGCCGGACCTTGCGCTGCTCGTCGTACTCGCGGTCGTCCTGCGCCTCGTCCCACCCGCCCTCACACTCCCTCCCCTGGAGCCACCGCACGCCCTGCCGCACGATCCGCACCGTCTCGGCGTACTGGCGCTGCGACAGGAGAAAGTCGGCGAGCGTCTCGAGGTCCGGGTAGCCGTACGTGTTGAGGAGGCCGGCCGTGTCCTCGGTGACGATGCGCACGAGGGCGCGGTAGTGCTCAAAGGCCGACAGGAGGAGCTGGGTCGCGCGGGCGTACTGGTCGGTCGCGGCGAGGAGGGGCGCGAGCTCGCGCAGGACGCCCGGGTCGTGCGGGAGGAGCGACAGGAGGGCGAAGAAGGCGCGGATGGCCTGCGGGACGTGCTCGTCAGGGTCGTGGAACGAATGAGAGTGGACGAGAAGGCGGAACGGACCATGTTGGTGGCACCGGACAGCTTGAGCAGGATGGCGCGGTCCCACATGGCGTCGACGTCCTCCTTGTCGCCCTTGATCGCCTGCGTGAAGCAGTAGATGGCCTGGTGGAGCAAACCGATGTCGCTGTAGGCGGGAAGAGAACGTCAGCATCGCTCAAGGTCCGCGAGAGAGAGAGAGAGAGAGAGAGGTCGTCGAGAGGAGGAAAAGGTCGACGCACCGGCACTCGCGCCCGATGTCGGCCCAGTCGGCGACGCCCTGGCTGCCCCTGAGGTGCGTCGCGACAATCTTGCACTGGATCGACTTCTCGCGGTCCTCGAGCTCCTCGTAGATGGTCGCGAGCGTGTACCAGGCCTGGGTGATGACGGGGTCGATGCGGATGACCTCCGAGAACAGCTCGATGGCCTCGTGGTGCGAGCCGTTCGAGTAGGCCGCCGTAGCCTGGCCGATAAGGCGTTGGACCTCGGGGGACGGCGGCATCTCGTTGCGGCGGCGGCGAGGGCGCTGCGGCGAAGGGAAGAGGTCGGATGAGTCGGCGGGCTCGGAAACGTTGAAGGCGAGAGAGCAGGGGACGCACACCACGGCCACCACGCCTGCGCTTGCGGCCCTTGACGCCGACCGTGAGGTCGTCCATGAGGTCGGGGTCGAACGCGTCGAGCTCGTCGGCGATCGACTTGTCGAACTCGCGGTCGAGGGCGGTTGCGCCGCCGACGCCGGTCGAGGTCGAGTCGCGGATGGCGCTGATCAGTCGTCTGTGTGTGCGTGTGCGTGTGTCAGTACCGCTAGGCAGGACGAGGGCGCGAGAGGGAGAGAGTCGAGCGCACCCGAGGTCCTCGTCGCCGTCGTCGTCGTCGAGCGCAAACAGGTCCTGGTCGTCCGCCCTGCCCTTGCCCTTGTCCGCCGCACCGACCGCGCCGTTCCCGCCGAGCAGCCCACCCGCACTGACCCTGCTGCGCCTCGCCGCGTCGGTGCCCTGGGTCGCGGCGGCGTACTCGTCCTCGGCGTCCGTCTCGTCGTCGCTGTGGTCGTCGTCGTACGCGCCGTACTCGCCCTCGCCGTCCTCGTCGTCCCAGTACGGGTCGCCCTGGCTCTTGAACGCGCGAGAGCCGGAGGACGAGGGCCCGGGTTGGGCGAGGGCGGGGTCGAGGGCGAACGACAGGGACGCGGCGCGCTGCCGCGGGACAAAGCCGCTGAGCTCTGGGACGAGGTCCTGCATGGCTCTGATGAGGGTACTGCGCAGCCTGTGCGAGTAGAGCGTGTGGGGACAAGAGGGAGTGAGCCAACCGCGCCGGGTTCGCCTCGTGTTGTCGCTCGTCCTCTCGCCTCTCGCTGTGCAGACCTGTGGCGACCTGCATGGCACTCGGGGACTCGCCTTAGGACTACCGCACACCATGAGCTCTTACCCCGGGCGGTGCGTCCCTCCTCCCCACTCGTCATCTCCCCTCGGCTCCTCCCGCCGCCTCTCTCTCCCTCGGCAGGGACTAGGGCGAGGGGCAAGGTCGTGCATGACCTCGAGGAGCACTGACACTCTCCCTTACGCGCAGCGGCAACGGGCTGTTGCACCGCGACCCGAACCGCACCGCCCTCTTCTCCTCGTCGCGCTCGGCATCCCCTCTCCCCATGTACAACCGCCCGTCCGACCGCTACGCCGCCGACCGCACCGCCGAGGACATCGAGGGTCAGAACGACGAGGGCCTCGAGGGCCTCAGCCAGAAGGTCAAGCTCCTCAAGAATGTGCGTCGGCCGTTCCCTCTGTCGCCGGCGACTCGCTCGAGCGACACAGAGTCTCATCCTGACCCTCTCGCCCACCCTGCCCGCCGCTCCAGATCACGATCGGCATCGGCAACGAGGTCCGCGACTCGACCAAGATGCTCAACGGCATGGTGAGCTCTCGCTCCCCCTCCTCGCGCGCATCCTGTCGTTCGAGGGCTCACGGACCCTCGCGCTCGCAGAACGACACGTTCGGCGAGACGGGCAACTTCTTGTCGGGCACGATGACCAAGATGAAGAAGATGGCGCGGCGGCAAGGCGGGCAGTGGTGCTTGTGTGCGTCCCTCGCCCTCTCCCTCTCTCTCGTCGTCCTTCCTCTCGGCGCGCACTCGCTGACTCTCGGTCCTCAACATACAGGGATGGTGTTTCTCGGGATCGTCGGGACTGTTTTCTTCTGGACCTGGCTCTTGCGGAGGTGCGTCTCGTCGCGTCCCCTGGCCCGTGGTCGACCTCGTTCTGACTCTCCCTCACGCCTCGCAGATGATCTAGTCCCTGTAGAACGTTTTGACCTAATGTGCAGTACTATTCTGCGTCCCGCGCACTCTCGACTAGAGCCGCTCGAGCAGCCTGAGCTCGGCCGTTTGCTGTCTCGCCGCTCGAGCCCGTCGGCGGCAAAAGTCTGCGGCCCGACCTTTCCTCTCGCTTTCGCTCTTCCCTTGGCGATCCATCATGCCCAAACACCATGGCAGCGCCACTATCAAGTACGGCTCGAGCGGCTCGCCCGTCTCCTTCCTCTACAGTCCCGCCCTCGACTTCGACCTCGTCTTCTCCTCGAGGGGAAACGGCACCAGCCTCCAGCTCCTCGAGTGGCGCAACGCCACTGCCCCTATCAAGGCCCTGAGCGTCAAAGTCGTGGTCACGCACGTGCAGAATGGCCAGTCGCAAGACCTGCACCCGCACGCTGCCCGAGATGCTGTGGCCGCCGATGCCAGATGGCGCGCTCATCCTCGAAGGCGGCACTCTTGGTGACTACTACTCGTCAAACATCCTCGCCCTCGAAATCGTCACGCCCGCGGACGGCCTCTTCAGCTGGGAGCGACCTGCGACGCGCGAGGAGGGCGAGGGTCGCACGGCCGCCGCCACGTTCTGCTCAAGCGCGTCAGCCTCTCTCCCTTCGTACCTGACGCGAAGGAGCTGACCATCCTCCTCTTCCCCGCAGCTCTCGCGCATGGGCAGGCGCCGAACGACGTCGTCCTCGACTTTCCGCACCTGGGCAAGCAGCTGTGGACGTCCGAGGCCTTCCTGAGCGCCGCCTCGCCGTACTACAAGGCCCTCTTTGCGTCGGGCTTCGGCGAGACGTCGAGCAAGACGTCCAAGCTGTCGCAGCTCCCGTCGGTCGAGCGGTCGTACACGTTCGTCGAGTCGGACGCCGAGACGGACGAGGTCGACCTCAAGTCGAGCAAGGCGAGGTCGAGCAAGGTCGTCGCGCCATACCAGCGCGTCATCGTCACCGAGACGTCGTACTCGACCTATTTCGCCGTCCTCGTCTGGATGCAGTCGCGCCACATCGCGTTCGCGCCGCTCGCCTCGTCGTTCCGCTCGGCCTCGTCGAGCTCCCCCAAGGCCGAGGCCGAGCCGGCACCTGTCGACGTCCCGTCGCGCAAGAGCAAGGTCGAGGAGCTCGTCGCGTCGCAGAACTCGGCGCTCCCGCCGCCCGTGTCCCCCAAGTCGGTGTACCGCCTCGCCGACTACCTCTCGCTCGACGACCTCAAGTCGCTCGCGCTCGCCAACCTCGTGTCGCAGCTCACGCCGACCAACGTCGCGTACGAGCTCTACTCGGACATGGCGACCGTGTACCTCCCCGTGCGCGACGCCGTCCTCGCGTACGCCGTCGACCACTGGCGCGAGGTCAAGGACGCGCCGGCGACGGTCGAGATGGAGGAGCGCGGTGCGGCGGGCGAGCTCGGCGCGGCGACGGCGGGTACGGGCATGTTGCTGGCGAGGAGGCTCGCCGAGAAGCTGGGCAAGTGAGGGTGCGGATCGGGTGGGCGAGCGGGAGGAGGCCCGTGCGGCCTTCCCAAGTCGACTAGCTCGCTCTGTGGATCTCCAAGTCGGCGCAATGGACTTTCATCGTCAAGCATGACTCGTGCGCAGTGCGTCGATGCTGCGGTCCGCTCGAGAAGTAGAAGAAAGAGCGAGAGAGAGAGCTGGCCGCGAGAAGAAGTAGCCGGTATCGAGCCTGGCGGTCCGACTGAGCTCGACACGCTCAGCAGCGATGCGACGTGCGACGCGTCGAGCGCAAAGGCCGTCGAGCTGGGCGGGGTATCGAGCCGAGAGGGATTATGATAGCGAGCGAGCCTTGTCGTCAACGAGGAGAGCGAGCGCGAGAAGCAGCTCGTCCGCATGGACCGCTTTCCTCTTGGACCTGCTCGTCAGCGCGCTCGTGGCAGCGCAGATGAGGACAGCTATACTGTCGATGCAGCAACGAGCCGAATCCATGCTGCTCATCCGCCGCTTTGCAGAGCTCTCGCTGGCGACGCCCCGCACGCCGCTCAGGCCCCGCCCCAGCGACCGTCGTCAGCGCTTCCTCACAGCTCTCTTCTCCTTTCTCGACAGCTGGGGCACATCGGCAAGCTGACGTCGGGCGTAGAAGCTCACGCTCGCGACTCGCGCTTGCCGGAGCGAGCAAAGAGAGCTTTCTCGACGACCTTCTCAAGTCGGGTGCTCTGCCGAAAGGGATCGCGATACAGACCCAGTTGCACACATACAGCGTCCTCGTCCTCCTTGGCTCGCTCAGTGCTTGACCGAGAAGCGCGCGCGCAGGCGCGAGCCGTACACCTGCAAGGCCGGCACGATGAGGAGGCACAGGCCCGCTCCGACGGCTCCCTCCATCGCGAAGACCTTGAGCGGTCCTCCCGACGGTGCCTCGCTCCAAGGAAGCTGGTAGTACGGCACGCTGTGACGAGAGAGAGGGGTCAGTGAGGCTCGTCGAGCGCGTCTCGGAGGAAAAGGGAAAGGCGGCGCACGCAAAGCCACCCAGGACGCGGGCCCAGTTGATGAGCGCCGAGGTCTCGCCTTGCCGGGTAGGGAAACAGTTGTTCAAGTAGGCGTAGACCGCGACTGTGTTCAAGAGGATGCCGAGCCTGAGGGAGGTGCAGAGAGGGTCAGCAACCTGTCGGACGGACGCTCTGGCCCTTGCCCCGCTACTTCGCCGGGCAGACGGCTCGAAAGAGTAGAGGGAGGGACGCACTCGGCGAGGCCCCAGCCAAAGATGACAGCCGCGACGTTGAGCTTGTTCTGGAAGCTGCGCCGAGCAGGATGAAGCCGGCGACGAACGGCGGCATGCTGACGTAGCAGGTCCAGAGGCGCATCTCGGCTTCGAAGACGCCCTTGTTGCGCTTGATCAGACGGTCGGCGACCTGCAAGAGAGACGCTCGGTCAGACGAGCGCGCAAGGAGGACGAGGAATGTGCGAAAAGGCGACGCACCCAGTCGTTGAGGTAGCGACCGATTAACTCGCCAAGGACGACCGCAACGATAGGCGTAGCGTACATCGACGCCGTCACGTAGGGCGAGAAGCCGTAGCCGACCGGCTTCGGGCTGCCGACTGCAAAAGGAGAGGTTCGAGCGTCAGATACGGCGACGGCGACAAGGGGTGACAGGGCGGTCTTGCGGACGCACGGAAGACGGCTTGCGTAACGTTGATGCCGATGCCGAAGCCGAACGTCACGCCGACATCTGTCGCGGCGAGGAAAGGGTTATCAGACGACCTGAGAAGGCGAGGGCGAGGAGAGGGTGGACGCACAGAGGAGCATGAGGAGCATGTGCGGGCGCCAGATGAGGTCGAAGATGGACGTGAGCGACTCCCACCACGAACAGCGATACCTGCGGGGCGCGAAACCGAGAGTCAGGGCGTGGTCTCGAGGCGAGGTTCGACTTGGGAAGGTCGCGCGCGAGGACGTACTTGGCCATCTTGACGCCGGTGATGCCGATGAGCGTCTCGATGCGGTAGCGCAGGCCCGTCGTAGGCCGCTCGGGGAAAGGCACGACGTCGCGGTCATACATCGTCTCTTGAGCGAAGAAGGCGATGAGGAGGACGACGAGCGCCGTGTAACCGACGCCGACGAGGTAGACGTCCTTGAAGTTGGTCGTGTTGATCATGTAGCCGAGAAGGAACGGCGACACGAAGGGCTGTCGACGACAGGAAGTCGAGGAAGGAGAGGCAAAGGGGCGCAGGAACCGCGAGAAGAGGGGCGAGAGGAGAAGGTCAGCTTGCGCTCGTCGTTCGCGCCTGCAGAGGGACGGAGCGGACGCACCGAGCTGATGAAGCCGAGGGTCCACAGGCTGTGTGCGAAAGCGCGTCAGTACAGGAGGCGGAACGAGCGAAACGAGACGTCGACGTACTTGAGCTTGCGAGCTTGGAGGTGGAACGGGTACAAGTCGGCGACGACCCAGAGCCTGCATGTAGGTCTCGTCAGTCACAGCGTGCTGCGAGGCCCGGCGAAGGAGGCGTACCCAGTGCACTGCGGCGCGGTCTGCGGACGCGAGGGCAGCGTGTCAACAAGGGCCCGAGCGTGCTCGAGAAGTCGCGAAAAGGGGGGCGCACCGAGAAAAATGCTGTCAAGCACCTCATTGCGGCGAAGGTCTTGAGGTCCTTGGCGAGCGCGCAGCCGATGAGGAAGCCCAGGCCGAGGACCTGGGACCAGAAGAGGACGGGGAGCCTCCCGTAGCGCTTGATGAAAAACACTGCCGCGATGCCCCCGGGCCCCAAAAGGAAGATACTCCAGTTCGACGTGAGCGAATTGATCTCCTCGGTCGTCGTGTTGAAGGCGGCGGCGAGGTTGAACAGTGAGGCGATACCGAGGCCCGAATTGAAGTCAGGTACGAAGGCGGACATTGTGAGAATGAGCAACTGCAGGCTCTTCTGGCGGCTCGACCAGTTCTGCGGGTCGTTCGGGTCGTCGGACGCTGCGGGGAGGGAGCGAGAGGTCAGCTGCGAGGCTCGAGAGCGGGCGAGGAAGGACAGCTCGGGGACGCACGCTGCGGCCACAGGATCTTGGTCCCGTCGCTGTTGGTCTTGAGGCGGCTCGCGATCTCGTCGCCGTACTCGACGCGTGCCTCGGCCGGGTCGACGACGAGGCGGCCGTCGGCCGGCTTGAAACCCTGCGCCTCCTGGACGGCGCGCAGGTTGTGCGAGTAGCCCGTCGTGTGCTCGACATAGTGCTCAAGGTGGTCGTGCGTCGCCGTCGGCTTGGGCTGCGCCTTGTCGGCGTCGGCGAGGGACGAGGTCGAGTGCGCGTCGGCCTTCTCAGCCATGGCGGGCGGTCGGTCGAGGGACGGGGGTGTTGCGGGTTGGGGAGAGCGGGGTGAAGAGAAGAGAGGTGCGGAGGCCCAGCTCGAGATAGCTGGCAGGAGGAGAGCAACGAGCCGCGGTCGAGCGAGCGGCTGAACATGCTCTCCGAGCGAGATCGCGCCCCACCTCGGTCGTCGCTGCTGCGCGCTCGAGCCAAATTTAGCGCGCGAAGGTCGGGTTCGAGAGCCACCGGCGAGCGCTAGCGAAAGAACCGGGATCTCTGGCGACGGCGGCCCGCTCGACCTTCTCAAGTGACCGGGGGCTCGTGCACGCGCGCCCGAGCAGAGTCCGTCCGTTCCGCGGCAGCTCCGCCGCTCGTCCTCGTACGCTCACGCACGTCGACTGCGACGTGCTCGACGGCTCGAAGCTGTCGCCCCCCACGCACCTCGATCAGAGAGGAAGGCGGGCGTCGGGTAAACCGGCCGCTCGGATTATCCGCCCTGTCGGCCCGTCTCTCGACGAGAAAGCCGGTCACTCACCGAGCTGCAGGCGCTCGCGCGACGTGCTTTGAGCTCGAGACTCGAAGCAGCATGCGACGATCGAATTGCAGGCCGCGGTCCGCGACAGAGAGTGCCTGGAGCAAAGCCGCGGTCCGCGTTGCTCGTCCGCCGCTTTGCCCGCGAGCACGGCGAGCACGGCGGCCTCGGGCCTCGGTGGCGACAGCGTCGAGCGGATCTTGCGCCCACGAGCCGATCTCGCGAGAAGTACGGCCCGCGTAGCTGCGGAGACGAGGCAGGGAGCCAGGTGCTCGTGCGCAGCGCCGCGAGCAGGCGAAACCAGGCACGCCCTACCGCGACTCAGTGAGTGTCTGACAGACGCGGTAGCTACGAGCGAGGAGGTGAGAGCCAGAGAGAGCGAATCGCCTGCGTGAGACGCGGCGTGGGCGCAGAGCGAGCTGCTTGAGAACACGAACGAGCAGGACGAGCCGAGGACGAGGGGCAGCTCGCCGCAGTGGCTGGACCAAGCTCGAGCAGAACATCGCGACGAGTCGCTGCACGGGCGAGCGGGACTCTGGCAGGCCCCCTCGACGTGCCAGAGCGGTCGACGAGGTTGGGCGCTGGAGGAGGAGGAGGGCGGCGTCGCCAGACCCGCTCCAGCGCCGCGAGCGGCTGTCGCAGTCTGGCTTGAGCGCTGCTGGAGAGACTGGTGCAGCCGCGTGAGCCGCACGAGGCCGTGCAGGCGCGAGAGAGGCGAACGCAGATGAGGCGGGGGAGGAGGGTAGAGCAAGAGCGAGTAGACCTCGCGAGGGCGTGCGAGTGCGACAGGCTCGCTGCGAGAGCACGTGGGAGTACGAGCACGCGCACACACAGGCTGCAGCTGAGCGAGACGAGCTGCTTTGCGCGGGACCTTCTCCTCCTCCCGACACGCACCACACCCGCCTCGTCCTCCTCTCCCGACACCAAGCTCGCACGCCCAGCATGGACGACCTCTTTGGCTCGAACGAGCAGGCCGACCCGCAGTCCGACTTCCTCGCCCGCGAGCGCGCCGCCCTCGGGGCCGACGCCTCGTCGTTCGCCCCCTCGTCCGACTCGGCAGCGCTCGACAAGGACTACGAGGCCGGCGCGTCGGCCTTCCCCGACCTCGACGATGCCGACGACGATGCCCTCGGCGCCTTTACCGGCTCGCAAGCGCCTGCGCCCGCCGCCCCGGCTCAAGGCCAGGTCTCCGTCACGGGCGACAACGAGTTCGCCGCGTTCGAGCAGGAGTACCCCGAGATCGACTTGCCCAGTGACGAAGTGAGCTCCTACTCTCTCCCACCCACGCGCAGCTGCGTCCCCTCTCTCCCCTCGAGACGAGCTCACGCTCTCCCCCCTCCCCTCCCCTCCCCCTCCTTCCTCGCTGTGCAGCCCCACCAGAACGGCCTGAACGGCAACCCCTCTGCTCCGCCTTCCGCCGGCCTCGCCGCACCCGCATCTTTCGGCCAGGCGCCGTCCCAGTCGGCGAGTCCCGCACTGCAGCAGCAGGAGGGAGAGTCCGAGTTCATCAAGTGCGTCGCCGCCGTCTCTCCCTTGTGCGCTCGCGTGCAGCTCAGCCTGCACGCCGCGCCCTATCGTGCGCCGGTATGGCGACTCACGACCTCCTCCCGTCGCAACAGGTCGTGGCGCGATAAGCAGGCGCAGGAGATTGCGGCGCGGGAAGACGAGTACGCCCGCCGCAAGGAGGAGACGATCGCCAAGGCGCGCAACGACATCGACAACTTCTACAAGGAGTACAACGCCAAGAAGGAGAAGGCGATCGCGCAGAACAAGTCCGTCCCCCTCTCTCTCTACCTCTCGGACGAGGTGCCCAGCGAGCTGATACGCCCGTCGCGCGCACACGCAGGGAGGACGAGGAGAAGTTCAAGGCCGAGCTCACCGACTCGCTCGCCAAGGGCACGACGTGGGAGCGCATCTGCCAGCTCGTCGACCTGCAGGACTCGCGCTCCAAGACGACGACCAAGAGCAAGCAGGACCTGACGCGCTTCAAGGAGCTCCTCCTGTCGCTCCGTCGCGAGGGCGAGACGGCACCGGGTGCGGCGGGCTACTGAGCGTTTGCGTCCCCTCTCGTAGATGCTCCCCTTTCCCCTCCTTCGTCAGTCGTCGTTTTCCCCCTCTGTAACAGCAGTCCCCCCCAGTTGTGCTCGACCCGCTTGCGCCTCTGTCTCGCTCGCGACCTTGTCGCTCTCTCTGTGCGGCCGAGAGAGTGTGCTTCGAAAGAGAGGAACGGTTACAGGGACGGCGAGAGAGCAACAAGGAGGGAAGAGGCGGGGTATGGCTACAAATGCGTGCGAGGGGGAGGGGTAACAACGGCGACGACGATGACGAACAGAGAGGGGGTACACCGAGAGACATAGATAGATACACAGTGCCCGCGAGCACGATAAAAGAGAGAGCTCGCTTGAGGGGAGGATCACCTCCTCGCCGGCCGACCGAACGCCTTGGTCGTCACGCCCCGGCGCAAGTCGCGCGCGAGCCCCGGCGTCCACTCGCCGTCGCGAATGCGCGCGAGCTCCTTGAGCAGCATGCCGAACGCGTCCATCTGGGGCGGGCGTGCGCGCTCGTCCTCGACGGCCGCCGCCTGGTTCCACACGGGGACGCCGTCCGGGAGGCGCTGCTGCTTGACGAGCGACGCCGACGCAGCGGGCGCGAGCCACTGCTCAGGCCCGTCCGGGATCGACCACTGGAGCTTGTGCGCGATGCGCGCAATGTGCTGCTGCATGCGGCGCACGTCGGCGGGCGGGATGCGCTCGAGCCGCTCGATGAGGGACGGGCCCGCGCCGGCGACAAAGTCGGCCTCGTCGACAAAGACCGAGTACTTGCTCATCTCGTTGACCTCGGGCGACGACGGGAACAGGCGGCCGTACGACCGCTCGCGGAAGATGACGGGGATGCACCCGAGCTGGACCGCCTCGTACAGGGCGCGGCGCGACGGCGAGTCGCCCGCCGGCATCGGGCAGAACTTGGCCTGGGCCATGTGCTCGTGGAACAGGGTGAGGTTCTGCGCGCCGTCGAGCGAGTTGGTGATGTCGTCGAACAGGATCTCGGCCGTCGCGTTCTCGGGCCGCGTCTCGAGGTAGTCGGCAAACTCCTTGCGGAGCGCCGCACGCAGCGCAAAGCCGTTGAACGGGTCGCTCGCAGGCTGGCCCCACGGGTGCGTGGCGCCGGCGGCGTAGTGGAGCCTGCAGGAGAGAGACAAGAGCGTGAGCGGCCGGCCTTCCGAGAGCGCTCGAGAGGAGGGAGCGAGGACGCACAGGTAAGGGCGCTCGGCGTTGAGGAAGACGTCGCCGACGGTCGGCTTGGTGCCAGTCGACGAGCTCGAGAGGTGGAAAGCCGTCGGGTCTGTGCGAGAGAGACTGAGGGTCAGTGCGCGAGTCGAGGAAAGAGAGAGAGAGAGGGACGCACAAGGCAGGTCGATGAGGTACTTGAGGCCCTCGGCCGTGTGCTGCGGCGCGTTCTCGATCGAGACGAGGACGATGCTGTCCTTGAGCTCGGCCATGAGCTCGGGCGTAAAGATGGGCTCGAGCAGGCTCCGGATCGTCGTGACGGGGACGACGATGCGAGGGTACGGCGTCGGGCCGATGGCGGCGGCGAGGTCGCGCAGGAACTGGGTCGTCTGCTTGATGCCGTCCTCGAGCTCGGGCGCCGGGCAGCGCCACGGGTTCGACCAGATCTGGGACAGGAGCGGGAGGTAGATGAACTCGGGCGCCGGGTCGGTCACCAGCGACGACACGGCGTGCGAGTAGGTCGAGAACCTCGTCGTGAGGATGTCGTCGAGCGCAAACTGGTTCGTGTTAGTGACCCAGTAAGGGAAGTTGGGCTTGGCCGGGCGCGGCGCGCCGTACGCCGCCTTGGTCGTCTCGCGCAGCGGCCGCACGCCCCACCCGCACCCGCCGGCCCCTGCCGCCTTGAGGAGCGCCTCGTTGATCTTGCTCATGTCGGCGACGGCGACCGTCGGCGGCCGAGCGACGTGGCGGTCGAGCCGGCTCTGGACGAGGTCCCACGCCGCGCTCGTGTACGACAGCTGGCGCATCGGGAACGCCGCGACGCCGAGCGTCGTCGCGAGGGCGACGAGGAGGAGGTAGTGCCACCGGCGCAGGGCGGGCTTCTTGACGCCGTACGGGTTCGGGACGGCGAACAGGGACCGGATGTCCTTGGGCCCGGTCTCGAACAGGAGGGTCGACGCGACGACGACGGTCGCGCCGAGGACGGACGGCGTCGACAGCTCAAAGTTGAACAGGATGACCGACAGGAGGAAGGTGAAGACGATCGAGATCGACAGGGCAAAGCCCTTGGCGATGTTGTCGGCGTGCTTGATGGCGACGGCGATGAGGAGGCCGCCGACCGTCTGGAGGAAGATGACGGCCCACGCCATCGGGTTGCCGCTAAAGCCCTCGAAGAAGCCCTCGCCGGCGCGCACGACCGGGTCGTACCAGTGCTCGAGCGGGTCGAACAGGCCCTTGTAGTCGAGCGAGAGGCCGCCCATGGCGTCGAGGTGGACGTGGCTCGCCTGAAAGAGGACGACGACGAGGCCGATGACCGAGCTGAACAGCGACAGCTGGATGTTGCGGACCCACAGGCTCGCCGGCTTGATCGTCGGCGGCGCGACGAGCATGACCTCCTCGACCTGCGGGATGACGGGCTGGCGCTTGATGACGAGCTCGAAGTAGGTCGCCGCGATCGCGCTCGAGAAGCACGACACGAGGACGGCCGAGATGCCGGCGACGTAGTTCATCGACTCGGTCGACGCCGCCGGGTGCGCGCCGTGCTCCTTGGCCTTGGCGTGGATGGCGCCGAGCTGCATCGTCGCGACGCCGAGTCCGAGCGAGACGAGCGTCGCCCACTGGACCGCCGTGAGGCGCCGACCGAGCATGGCGACCGCCGTGATGGCCGTCACGACCGTCTTGAGCTGAAACGTGATCTGGAAGACGGGGACCGACAGGTTGCGCGCGGCGACGTAGCTGCGGGGCGGATTCGGCGGGTCAGAGAGGGCCTCTGAGACGACGAGCCCGAGAGAGCGAGGAGAGCGGACGCACATGAGGTTGTTCTGGAGCGCAAAGAGAACCGCAGGGACCGCCATCTTCCACCAGTCGCCGCCAAACACGTCCTCCCACAGCATGCGCACGACGCCCATCCTCCTGCGCCGCAGCCACAGCCTCGGGTCGTCGAGCATGCGCATGACCTTGGGGTCGGGCTGCGGCGCGCCCTCGGGCGACACCTTGCCGAGCTTCTCGGCGACGGTCGGCGAGATGAGCTTGTGCGGCCACTGGAACTTGGCGAGGGTCGACCGCTCGGGGAACTGGGACCGGATGGGCGAGATCGGGTTCGAGTCGGGCCCGTCGAACGTGACGGAGAAGGACGGGGCGCGGGCCGACGAGCGGCGGCGCAGCGACCGGCGACTCTGGTAGTGCTGGGCGTGGAGGAGCGGGCGGTGGGACGCATCGCTCGGCGTCGTGTCGTACGGGTCCTTGCCCGCCGGGTCGTCGACGCCGACGTCGGTCGCGACCGAGTACAGCTCGGGAGACGGGAGGGCGTGTCGAGGGGCGAGGAGGGTCGCGCGCTCCTTGAGCGTGTCGCGCAGGGCGAGGACGAGGGACAAGACCAGCTTGCCCAGCTCTGCACGGGGTCGTCTCGTCAGGGCTGTACCTTGAAGCAGGCAGGAGAGCTGGGTGCGCACCGGTAAGGAGGACGGCGCTCGACGCCTTGTAGTGCGCCTGGCCCGGTCGGAGCTGGGCTTGCGAGACGTGCAGGCTGCGGGTGCGAGGGGCGAGGTCAGCTCGTGTGCGCAGTGCGCAGAGAGGGAGGGAGGACAGGGGGACGCACACAATGGCGAGTGCGGTCGACTGGATGCAGACGGCGGCGAGCGACAGAGGCCTCGCCGAGAAGAGGGAGCTCATCGTCGTCGAGGCGGTCGGCGTCGTCGAGGAGAAGCCAGTCCAGCAGGCGGTGTACAGCAGCAGACAGGCGTGGTGTGCAGCAACAAGGGCGAGCTGCTCGGTGCGCAAGCCTTGTCGGTGCGGGACCGTCGCACGCTTGCTCGGGCGACTCGGGCTCGAGTCCGGGCGGCCGACGCGCTCAGGGGAAGAGACACGCCAGTTGTGGTCCAAGACGACGCGATCCACGGTCGCGGGCAGCGGTGATCCAGAAGGCCCCAGTGCTCGCTCGAAAGGGCGGACAAAGCCAGGGGCAGGACGACTCGCCGCGAGTGGAAGGCGGCCCGACGGGTCGCGGTTACGGCTTGCGCGCTCGGTACCGCGCGCAAAATGACCGTCCCAGGCAAGTCATCTGGAACGCGGCGTTTCATTCGGCCCACCCGGCAAGCGAGCTTGTTTGAGCGCTTTGTCTCCCCCTCGCGCCCTCGCTCGACTTGGCGCTCGCGGCTTGCCCAAAGCTTCCCGCGACGTCACTCGCGCGTGTTGCAGACAAAAGCGTCGGGAGGCTGGACTGTCTCTCAAGCTGTGCGGGTCCCGGCCCTTGCGCGGCGGCCGAGAGCTGGCTCGGTACCTTCACGCTCAGCGGTGCATGGACAGTCGAGCTGCGTGCTCTCGACCTGCTGCACGGTGAGCTACCACCTCGCGCTACACGGCACAGCACCGCGCCGCTCCGCCATGTCGAGCTCCCACTACCGAGCGCTGTCGGTCACCGGCCTCACCGACCCGCCCGCGTCGTTCTCGCGCTCGTCGACCGACGCCGGCCCCACCAGGCGACCTTCCGTCACCTACAGCAAGCGCGCGTCGACCCAGCACGCGGACCGCCCCGACGCCGGCCTCCTCCTCCACGACCCGTCCGCCCGCGCTCGCCTCGCCGGCGTCCCGCGCAACTACCGCCGCCTGCGCCTCGCCGCCTACCTCGGCTGGGCCCTCGCGGGCGTCCTCGTCGTCGCGCTCGCCGCGAGCCACGGCACGGTGCCGAGCGAGCTGAGGGACCTGCGCCCGCTCGCCGGCGTGCGGGACGCGGCGGCGAGGGTCGGCGCAGCGGCGGCAGGGAGGGCAGCACGGCCACCGACGGGAGCAGGAGCGCAGAGCGGGCATGCGTCGGCGGCGGCGGCAGCGGCGGCGACGGCGAGCGGCGAGACGTCGCCCGTGACCATCGTCTCGAGCTTCTACCGGGTCGACAGCGGCAAGAAGCACCGGGTCAGCGGTGCGTCCTTTCTCTCTATCTCTTCCTGTACGTCGTGAGCTGACTCGCCTCGCCGTGCGCAGAGTACAACGAGTGGCTCGGCAACTTTCTCCATTCCGTCGAGCTGCCGATCGTCTTCTACTGCGCGCCGTCCTTTGCCGCCTACGTCAAGAACCTGCGAGGCAACAAGGTGCGCCCACTTTTCGCTCTGTGCGCACCGAGAAGCGACCAGGAGCCTGACGAACCTCGTCGACCCGCAGCCGATCACGCTCATCACCGAGTTCTCGAGCCCGTTCGACATGCCGCCGGTGCAGGACCTCGGCGGGCACGACTGGGCCGTCCGGCAGCACAAGCTGGACCCGGAGCAGCACGTGCACGTCCCGGACGTGTACGGCGTGTGGACGGCCAAGCCCTGGATCGTCAAGGACGCCGCCGCGCGCAACCCGTACGGCAGCGAGTACTTCTTCTGGGTGCGTCCCCTCTCTCTCCTTCCTCTCGAGGGTCTGTCCGCGGGACTGACTAGAAGCCCTCGACGCAGGTCGACGCCGGCGGGTTCCGCGACTCGTCCGTCACGCACTCGTTCGTCGAGCTGCCGACCGTCCTGTCGGACCTGTACTCGACCCTGCCCGCCGACACGGTCATGCTCGCCGCGACGCTCGGCCCGTTCGAGGGGGGCACGAGCTGGGTCAAGGACGTCAAGCGCAACGACGAGATGGACCGCACGGACCGGCTCCAGGGTGGGTGGTTTGGCGGCAAGAAGGAGGCGGTCAACATGTGGGAGCGCGAGACGAGGAAGGTGACGGTGCTGCAGAGCGCCATGGGTCGGTGCGTCTGCGTCTCTCTCCTTACCACGATCGAAGGGCACATGCTCGAGCGCGCGAGACTGACCTCGTCGTCGCGACCTTCTCAGATTCGCCGCCAAGGAGCAGCCAGTCTGGACGATGGCGGCACGGCTCAACTGGCACAAGATTTACGTGCAGGTGCGTCCTCGTGTTTCTATATTTCCCGCGCTCGCCCGTCGAGTCGACGAGCAGCCCGCCTCCTCCCCTCGACCCACCCTGACCCCTCCTCCCCTCCCCTCCTCTCCTCTCCTCGCCTCGCCTCGCCTCGCCTCGCCTCACCCCGCAGAACATGGCGTACCGCTCCGGTCCCGACTGCGGGCCCGATATGTGGTTCGCGTTCGAGTACTTTGCCGACGGGCGCGACTGCGAGATCCCGGCGTGGAGCGGACCCGAGTACGCGCGTCTCGAGGACGACGAGCGCAAGGCGGCACGGGCGGGGCAGCACATGGAGGGGGGTCTTGTCGGCGGCGGCGACGAGGTTGGCTGGGAGGGCATTGTCGGTCGCTGAGTCGGGAGGAGGTCTGGGTTGCGCCGGGAGCGTACCTCGCACTTGTAGCGCTAGTTCGCCTGCTGTCCCTCTCTCTCTCTCTCGTACATCATCCTGTAGCAGTTCTAGAGCACCTGCATCCTCATTCGCATCACCTCGAAACGTCATGCGTCTTGGGAGAGAGAGGGCAGACGATCTCTCGACTTGCTCGCGCGAGGGGGAGAGGCTCGAGCGAACGCTTTGCAGGACGAAACGACGGCACCCAGTGAGACGAGGAGGGCTACAGGAAGTCTAGTATGTCACTGACGGGGCAGAAAGGCTACACAGTGCGGGTGGGGGGTATGCGGGAGAGAGAGAGACGAGGAGGAGTGGGAAAGGGGGGTGGGAGGTGGACAGCGCACTCAGGCGTGCTGCGAGCACGAGAGGCAGGTGCCGGCGAAGCAGATGCCCTTGCCGGGAATGCTGCGGACGAGGGAAGCGCTCGTCAGGAACTGGGTCGCTCAAAGCGCCGACAGAGAGAGAGAGAGGACGAGAGCGAGGGGGACGCACCAGAAGCGCGTGTTGCCCGAGCCTTGGTCGCACGGCTCGCCGATCTGGACACGCACGGCGCCCGTGGGAGGACGGCACCGGTTCTTGTAGCAGGTGTACCCGAGCGAGTCGTCGCACGGGAGCGACGCGTCGCAGTACGGCTCGAGCGTCTTGAGCGTGCACAGCGCCTCGCACACCTGGCCGACGCACGAGAGGCCGGTTTGGCTGTAGGGTCGAGGTGTGTCAGGTGTCGAGTATAGGGGAAAAGAGGGAAAGCAAGAGGGCGAGTCGACGCACCAGCAGGCGCCCGCGTTCGGGTCGCACGAGCCGCCGAGGCCGACGCTCGGCGCGCAGGAGAGCGGGCCAGTGGCGGCCTGGGTCGCACCGACAGCCTGGGCGGTCGTCTCGGGGCTGGCGGCCTCGGTGTTGGAGATGGTGACGGTGAGGAAGCCGGGGACGACGTCGGGAACGGCCGTGAGGAACGTCTCGCTCGCCGGGTCGGCAGAAATGGTCGGCGAGCCGACGCTCTCGGCGCGGCGGTGGCCCCTGCAGGCGACAAAACGAGGGTCAGGGTCGCTCGAGAGAGAGAGAGAGAGGCTCGGCGAGACGCAGGCGAGGACGCACCAGGCGCGCTTCTGGCGAAGGTGGCTCGGGACCCGCCCGCCGTGGCCAGACGAAGCGAGTGCGGTCGCGGCCGACAAGGCGGCACCGAGCAAGACAAAGGTGGTGCGCATCGTCGGTGTTGGGCTGACTGGTGGACGTGCGAGAGGAGAGGGAGCCGGAGCTGGGGCTCGACTCGACGAGGAGGCTGGGCGGGGAACGAGTGACGAGGGTGTGGGTGCGTGGGGCAGCGAGAGCTGAGTGCAGGTACACAGGAGCAGACCGGCTGCGAGGTGGGAGCTGTGTAGCTTGCTGGACGGACGACGAGCGAGGAGGAGGGAGGCTGTCCGGCGCACCTTTGACCCACAAAGTCGAGGCCACCCCCGGAAGCGGCCGCCGCTTTTGCGTTGTCTTAGCAACGAGACACTCAGTACTGATCAGAGACTCGACAGGTCGAAAAGTGAGCACAGCTCCGGGAGAGGAAGGAGATTCGGCCGGATCCTCGACCTTGTCCTTGTCGCTCGTCCTCGAGGCAAGCCCTCCTCGTCTGGGCCTTGATTGCGCTGCAGCCCCGAGTGCGCACCCGCCAGCCTTGTTCCAACGCGGCCGCGCGCGACGGTCTCGGCGCGCCCCTCCGCACGAGATCATCCGCCCGCCGCTTTCGAACGAGATGAAGTCGCCCTCATCGAGCACCTGGCCATTCAGCCGGTCAGCAAGATCGGCCCTCACTCGACCGCGCTCGTGGCTACAGAGCCCGGCCGCACGGCGGCGCACCGCGGCCGTGGCCCTCCCCCTCCTCCTGCTCCTCTCGACCTCTTTCCGCCGCTCGCCCTCGTCGTCGTTCATCCCGTACTTCTACTCGTCGTCTGCACGTACCGCGGTGTGATCAGCTGGTCCTCTTCGCTCGCCGGTCGCACTTGTGCGTCTGCCGCCGTTCCTCCCCTCCCCTCGCGTCGTCCTCGTCCTCGACGACCCTGACCCTCGTCCCTCTCGTCCTGCAGCATCCACTCGCCTATCCGGCACACCTTCCCTTTCCCTTCGAGCCGACCGCCTCGCCTAGCCGCCGCCATGGCCGCCCGCATCAGCTTCGCCCTCTTGGTTCTTTTCGTCCTCCAGGCGACGTCCGCCCTCGCCGCCGTCTTCTCGTGCGTCGGCGGCACGGTCTTCATCATCGCGCACCCGGACGACGACCTGTTGTTCCAGGCGCCCGACCTCCAGACCGACGTCGCGAGCGGCGCCTGCATCACGACCGTCATCCTCACCGCCGGCGACTCGGGCACGTCCGGCTCGAGCTACGTCCTGAGCCGCGAGCAGGGCAACGGCGCCGCGTACGCCCAGATGACGGGCGTCGGCAACACGTGGACCGAGTTCACGACCTCGTTCGGCGGGCAGCAGGTCCTCGTCACGACGCTCGTCGGCGCGCCCCAGATCCAGCGCGTCCACTTCCGCCTCCCCGACGGCAACATGGACGGTTCCGGGTGCGTCGCCTCTCTCCTCCTCCTCTCTCTCTTCTCGACGACGGGAGGAACAAGCGACTGACGACGAACCCTCCTGCACTGCAGCTTCCCGTCGACGGGCTACCAGTCGCTGCGCAACCTCTACTTTGGGTCGATCTCGTCCATCCGCAACCAGCCCGGCACGGCCACGTTCACCTTGTCGACGCTCAAGGCCGCCCTCGCCGAGATCCTGACGGCCCGTCAGCCGTCGTGGGTCCGCACGCTCGACAACCTGTCCGACTTTGACGCCGGCGACCACGCCGACCACCTCGCGTCGGCCCGCATCGCGACCGACGTCGCGAGCCAGTTCTCGAACGCGTCGACGGCTGGCTACATGGGCTACCCTGCTCAGGTGCGCCTCCCTCCCTCTCTCTCTCGGCCTCACCGTCCGTCGCCTTCGCAGGCCCTGACTTTCCCTTGCACCTCGCACAGAACTTTGCGCCGACGATGGGCCTCGACGACGGCTCGTTCATCGCCAAGTGCAACGCCTTCTTCGCCTATACGCCGTACGACAGCGCCGAGTGCCAGTCGCTGTCGGAGTGCTGGAGCGCCGGGCGCGGCGAGGTGTACTGGCTCCTGCGGCAGTACATCGTCAGCGAGGACCTCGCCGAGCAGTCGTACATCGGCTCTGCCGAGATGCCCGTCGTCCTGCCCGAGGACCTCGACAACGTCGCGCCGCTCGGCCAGGTGTTTGCCTCGAGCGCGTCGGGGGTCCAGCCCGCGTCGGCCGCCGTCGACGGCAACGTCCAGGGCTACCCGGGCAACTACAGCGCCGAGTGGGCGTCCAACGGCGAGGGCGTCGGCGCGTGGTGGGGCGTCCTGTGGGACGACACGTACAACATCTCGGCCGTCGCGCTGTACGACCGCATCAACCAGAACGACTGGATCCAGGGCGGCACGCTCGAGTTCTCGGACGGCTCGACCGTCTCGTTCGGCGCGCTCGCCAACGACGGCTCGGCGACGCTCGTGTCGCTCGGCGGGTCGGTCGTCACCCAGTCGATCAAGATGACGGTCACGAGCGTGTCGCCCTCGACGGGCTCGGCCGGCCTCGCCGAGTTCAAGGCGTTCGGCGAGCTGTGCTCTGGCTGCACGCCGGGCAGCTCGATCGACGACGGCGCGACGACGACGACGACGAGCTCGGGCGTCGTGTCGGGCAACGGCGCGTACGCCGACCTCGCCCTGTCGGCGCACGCCTTTGCGTCGTCGAGCTTTGCTCAGCAGGGCGCCGACCGCGCCGTCGACGGCGTCATCAGCGGCTATCCGCTCAACTCGTCGGCCGAGTGGGCGTCGTACAACGAGCGCACGCCCTGGATCAACCTGACGTGGGACGCCTACTACATGGTCGACTCGATCGTCCTGTGGGACCGGCCCAACCTGAACGACTGGGCGACGAGCGCGACGCTCGCCTTCTCGGACGGCTCGTCGGTCCCTGTCGGCGCCCTCAACAACGACGGCTCGGCGACGGTCCTCAACCTGTCGACGCCGGTCAACGTCTCGTCGATCAAGCTCCAGGTCACGAGCGCCGGCCCGAGCAGCAGCTCGGTCGGCCTGTCCGAGATCGCGTGCTTCTACTCGCAGCCGCAGACGCCCGTCAACCTGACGGTCGTCGGCCGCAACCCGGGCCAGGACGCACCCGTCGTAGGCGACCTCGACAACGAGGACTGGTCCGACGACCTCGCGCTCCAGAACGCGACCGTCATCGTCTCGTCGGCGGCGCCGGGCCAACCGGGCGTCAACGCCATCAACGGCCAGCTCGGCGGCTACCTCGAGGACGGCTCGGGCGACGACTCGCTCGAGTGGTCGTCGAACAACGAGGGCCAGGGCGCCTTCTTCAACATCTCGTGGCCCTACCCTGTCAAGGTCGCCCAGGTCTCGCTGTACGACCGGCCCAACCTCGTCGACCAGATCACGGGCGCGGTCCTCGTGTTTGACGACGGCTCGTTCGTCAGCACGGGCGCGCTGTACAACGACGGCTCGGCGACCAACATCTCGGTCCCGGGCATCGTCACGACCTCGATCAAGATGCGCGTGACGTCCGTCTCGCCGTCGACGGCGGCGTGTGGCCTGTCCGAGTTTGCCGTGTACGGCTCGATCCCGTGCGTCTCTCGCTTACTTCTTCTCCCTCTCTCGCACTCGTGTGCCGGAGCTGACCTCAAGAGGATCGTCTACAGGAGCCTCGCCAACAGCACCGACCCGCTCAACTCGACCCTGCCGCTCAACTCGACGCTCCCTCTCAACTCGACGCTCCCTCTCAACTCGACGCTCCCGCTCAACTCGACGGCGCCGCTCAACTCGACCCTCGGCCTCAACTCGACCTTGCCGACCAACGCGACCTCGTCCCTCCTTCCGAACGCGACGTCCTCTCTCCTGCCCAACGTCACCTCGTCGCTCTTCCCCAACGCGACGTCGACCTCCCTGTTCGGTTCGGCGTCGATGAACGCGTCGGCGAGCAGCACCCTGAGCGCCAACTCGACGATCACGTCTTTCTTCCCGAGCTCGACCGGGTCGGCGAGCCTCAACCTGTCGTCGACGGCCTACAACTCGTCGGCGTCGTCGTCGGCCAGTCGGTTCAACGCGTCCTCGTCGTCCCTGTCGGCCTCGTCGAGCGGGTTCAACTCGTCGAGCGTCCTCGCGAGCGCGACGAGCAACATCTCGTCGAGTTTGTTCCCGTCGAGCACCGTCAACAGCTCGTCGATCCTGCTCCCGTCGAGCACGAGCAACAGCTCGATCTCGGCAGCGTCGACCGCATCCGCAAGCGCCAACTCGTCGAGCATCATCTCGAGCGCGGCGAGCGCCTCGAGCACGCTCTCGGCATCGTCGAGCTCGATCAACGGCAGCGTCTCGTCGACGCTCCGCGCCAACGCGACCTCGTCGAGCGTTCTCCCGAGCGGGTCTGTGTCGGCGAACGCGACGCTGAGCTCGGCGGCGTCGTCGTCGACGGTGCGCCCGTCGTCGTCGGGCACCAACTCGACGCTCCTGGCGAGCTCGACCGCGTCCTCCTCGCTCAACTCGACGACTATCGCCTCGGCGAGCTCGAGCGTCGCGTCGGCGTCGGCCAACTCGACCCGGGCGAGCGTGAGCGCGAGCGCAACCCTGTCGGCGTCCAATTCGTCGACCCTCCTCGTCCCTGCGTCGTCGGCCCTCGCCTCGAGCTCGGTCTCGCGGAACGCCTCGTCGGCCTCGTCGTCTGCGCTGCCGACCAGCTCAGCCTCGTCGTCGGCGTCGTCGGTCGCGTCGTCGGTCGCGTCCAGCAGCAAGGTCAACTCGACGTCGGCGCTTCCTTCGACGTCCGCGCTCCCTTCCTCGACCATCGTGTCGCGCTCGTCGGTCCTGCCTTCCACCTCAAGCGTCATCTCGAGCGTCGCACCGTCCTCGTCGTCGCGTCCGGCGTCGTCGTCGGTCGTCCCGTCGAGCTCGTCGTCCTCTCTCCTTCCACCTTCCACCGGCATGGTCACCTTGACGCGCTCGTCGTCGACCGTCGCGTCGTCGACGCTCATTCCGTCCTCGTCGTCGACCCTCAAGCCCTCGTCGACGTCGACGACGCCCACGGGCCTCCCGACAGCGACGGCCGCCTCGAACGCCAACATCGCCCGCCTCCCCGGCGTCGTCGCCAAGGCCTCGTCGTCGATCGCCAAGTCGCCTCCTGCAGGCGCCATCGACGGCAGCTACGGCGGCGTCTCGTGGCTCGGGTTCGGCAACGCCGCCCAAGAGTGGGTCTCGACCGGCACCAAGGGCCAGTGGCTCGAGCTGTCGCTCCCGGCGCAGTACAACCTCAAGGACATTTATCTCGCCGGCCGCGTCAACTACTGGCAGTCGATCACGAGCGCGACCCTCAACTTTACCGACGGCACCATCATCACGTTGCCGACGGGCGTGCCCACCAACGGCGGCCACGTCTCGCTCGGTTCGGCGGGGCTCACCGTCTCGGGCGTGCGCCTCACCATCACGGGCACGAGTGCAACGACGTCGCAGGCCGGTCTGTCCGAGATCGAGCTCTGTGCGTCCCGGTTTCTCTCGTTCTTCCTCTCCTCCTCAAAGCCTCGAATTGACCCTTCTCTCTCTCTCGCAGACTCGAAGGTTCCTCCTCCCTTTGGCGTCATCGTCGGTCAGCTCGGACGCTAGACGCCGCTCTCCTTTCCTCCTCTGTGCATCCACTCCATAGAGCCTCTCTCGTCCCCTCCTCGCAACCAGGTCGTCCTTTCGTGCAGTCCGTCTCGCAGTTCAGCCCTGTAGCCCTAGCACCTCCTGTAGCCTTAGATACCCACGCGCAACTTGCATACTCGTCGTCTCATCCTCTTGCCGAGTCTGTCGAAGCGAGAGCGCGAGAGCGAGAAGGCGACTTGCAAGCGGCCTCTCCTCGCGGTCACACTCTCTCTCGCGCAGAGAGAAGGGGGAACGACGATGCTTTTTGTACTGTCATGCGGTGAGAGGGGAGAGAGAGAAGAGAGGGGTGCGGTGCGAGACTCTATGGGGTGGTACGACGACGACGAAGGACAGCGTGCACGGACCTCGCCACCTCCGCTCACTGCTTCTTGGCCGCGTCGTCGTCGTCGCACACGGCCTCCTTGGCCTTCTTGACCTTCTTCTTGCCAGCTGTAGGTGGGCGAGGGACGAGAGAGGCGTGTCGGCGCGAGAGAGGGAGGCAGGAGGGGAGAGAGGGGGAGAGGGGGAGAGGAGAAGAGGGGACGGACCCGTCAGTACGAGTGTCGGGGCTCACGAACGGCCAAACCAGCGCCGCGCACCTTTCCACAGGTCGCCGAGGAGCGAGTGCTTGTCGTCGTCGTCGGCGGCGGCGTCCTTGACCGCCTCCTTGCCCTCCTTGACCGCCTCGGCCGCCTTGTCCTTGACGCCCTCGAACGCGTCGCCCACCTCCTCCCGGACACTCTCGAACCGCTCCTTGGCCTCGTCGAGCTTGTCCTCGACCGACTCGCTCGACGCGCGCTCGGCCGCACCCGCAGCGGCGCGCGCCTTGTCGGTCGCGGTCGACGAGATGTCGTCGCTCATGGTGCTCCACCACTGGGGCTTGTCCGGTGCGCCCTCGCGCGGAGGAGGGGTCGCGACCTGGGGCTCGTCGCCGGCTGGAGGGGCCGAGGCGGCGGCGCCGGCGGCCGAGGAGGAGGAGGATGAGGGTGCCGGGCGGCGAGACGAGGAGGGGGACGACGAGGAGGATGCAGATGCGGAAGAGGAAGAGGTGGTGGGGTAGTGCGCCGTCGAGCCGGGCATGTCGGTCTCGGCGACAAACTGCTCGAGGATGCGGCGCTGGGCGGGCGAGAGGGACCTGCGAGGCGAGGCGAGGCGAGGCAGCCGGGTCAGGGCTCGTCCCGCGGGTGACGACGAGAGGCAAAGAGAGAGAGAAGGAGGAGGAGGACGCACCTGGGCATGGTGACGTTGAAGCGCACGACGAGGTCGCCGTGGTCGTCCTTGTACAGCTTCTTGACGCCGCGTCCTCGGAGGACCATTTCCTCGCCGGGCTGGGTCCCCTGCGGCACACGCACCTCGACGTCGCGGTCGAGCGTCTTGACGGGCGCGCGCCCGCCGAGGATGGCCGTGTAGAACGGCACGTGGACGTTCTGGTACAAGTTGGACCCTTGGCGCGAAAAGACCTTGCTCGGCTGCACGTTGATGCGCACAAACAGGTCGCCGTTGCGGCCGGCCTTGGCCGAGGTCGAGCCGCCGGCGGTGAGCGGCGCGTCGCCCTTGCCGTCGAGGCGGATCTTCATGCCGTCGTCGACGCCGGGCGGGATCTTGACCTCGACCGTGCGGCGCTCACGCACCTTGCCGACGCCGGCGCACGTCCCGCAGTTGCTCCCGGGCGGCGCGACGCTGCCAGACCCGCCGCACGCCGAGCACGTCGAGGCCATCTGGAACCCGCTCTGGATCGTAAACGTGCGCGTGCCCGACCCGCCGCAAGAGCCGCACTGGGCCTTGTGCATGCCCTCGCGCAGGCCCGAGCCGTGGCACGTGTGGCAGTCGACGACGGGCGAGATGGCGATCGTGCGCGACGCGCCCTTTGCCGCGTCGAGGAACGGGACCGAGATCGACACCTCGATGTCGTCGCCGACGGGCACCGTCTGTCGAGGCCCGCCCGCCGACCCGCCGCGCCCGAACGCGCCGAACAGCGACTCGAAGATGTCGGCGCCGCCGGGTCCACCGGGCCCACCGCCCATGCCGCCGCCGAAAAAGTCGCCAAAGCCGGCGCCGCCGAACGACGAGGTGGCGCGGGCGTAGGCGTCCGAGTCGAAGCCCGGCTGGGTCGACGCCGAGCCGAAGCGGTCAAAGTCGGCGCGCTTCTTGTCGTCCGACAGGATCTGTGTGTCATGCAAAGTCTCGAGTCAGTCGGCGGGGCCCTGCGAAGAGAGAGAGAGGAGGACGCACGTCGTAAGCCTCCTGGATCTCAACAAACTTCTCCTTGGCGTCCTTCTCGGTGCTCGAGTCCGGGTGGTAGCGCTTGGCGAGCTGTGCACGTCGAGGCAAGGGATCAGTCAGGCGCCCGACGACGACGAGGACGGCAGAGAGAGAGAGGGGAACGCACGCCGTAGTAGGCCTTCTTGATCTCGTTGACCGACGACTCCTTCTTGACGCCGAGGACGCTGTACGGGTTCTTGTTGAGGGTACGCGCCGTCGAGGAGTGGAACGAACGCTGTCAAGGAGGGCAAGGGTGAGCCTGTGGGTCGTGGCGAGGAGGAGAGGGAGGAGGACGGACCGAGGACGACGGTGCCGAGCGACGGCGTGCGAGTGGCTGCTGCTCAATGACCCAGCCGTTCAAGCTAGTCGCAGTCGAGCGCGTGCGAGTGTTGGTGGTCGAGGGAGCGGCGGCCGATGAGAAGGAGCGGCGAGAGAGCGGGAGCTGGGCGGGGGACGAGGCGGCTGCCGAGGCTGATGCTGCAGCTGCTCGGGCAGGCTGCTGTGCGAGGTGCACGAGTGCTGGTGGGCGGGGCATGGCTGTGCGTGAAGAGCGATCGGAGGAAGAGCGAGGGAAAGTCGAGGAAGAGGTGAGCGAAATCCGACACAGCTCGCCCTCGCGTCCTTGGTCGTACTTGAACCGCTCGGAGAGACGGACTAGAGTATCTTCGAGCCCGTCAGCCCAGCGACCAGACTCTAGCGCGAGGTGAGCGGGCGAGGGTCTGGCCTTTCCTCCTCTCGCTCTCCGCTCTCGACAACGCTCGCCGTCAGCGTCCAGCTCGACAGCTACCAGCTCATCGAGCTCACGAGCATCGCCATGGCGCCCTGGCTTCAAGCCCTCGCGCACCACCCAGTGTGGACCCTCCCTCCGCCAGCCTCGTCCTCGTCGTCCAACGACCTCGCCCGCTCAACCGCCCCAGGGTCAGCAGCACACGCAGCAGCGCAAGCTGCACTCGGCCGCTCGTCGTCGACGGTGGCCCCCCTGTCCCAGTCCAACTCGAGCCGCTCCTTGTTCGGCCTCGCCAACTCGCCCTCATCCCCCTCGTCGTCCTCGTCCCCGGCCAAGCCGCACCCGCTCAAGCGCAGCCGCTCGTCCCACACTGCCGGCGCCAAGAGCTCAACCGAGCGCCGCATCAAGGGCGGGCGCACGACCCGCGTCGCCGTCGTGCGCGGCACCGACCTCGTCGTTGCTGTCGGCAGCGAGCTGCGCATGGCGAGCCTCGCTCAGGTCAAGAGCCGCGCGATCGAGGCGGGCGAGTTGCCTGTGGAGGACATCGACCTCGGTGACTACAAGGTGCGCTGCCACCTCTCTCTTTTGCCTCGTCGCCGCCGCCGTCGCCCGACCCCGCTCACCCTCTCGCGTCCTCCACCACGCAGGTCCTCAACACGCCCGCCGTCACGTTCGAGATCCAGCAGCTCATCGTCAACCCGACGTCAAAGCTGCTCGCCGTCGTCGGCGCCCACTCGGTCGTCGTCGTCGTCCTCCCGCGCCGAGGGTGGACCAACACGGTCAGCAAGACGCTCGAGTGCCGGTGCGTCCCCCTCGGTTCCCTTGTCGCTCAACTGGCCCCATGCGCCTGTCAGTGTGACATAGGTTGACCAGTCGTGCGCACAGATCGCTCCCCGTCGGCGCCTTCTACCACTCGTTGGCCGGCTCGCCCACCATCGCGTCCGTCCTGTGGCACCCGCTCGGCCACGACGCGTCGTCGCTCGTCGTCCTCACTTCCGACGCCACCCTGCGCGAGTACACCGTCTCCGAGTCGCTCGACGAGCCCGCCCAGACGCTGTCGTTCGCGCGAGCGGGTGCGGGCGCGGGAGCGGGCACGGCGAGGAAGGGCGGGTTCGGGCTCGACGCGGTCGACCGCGAGGCGCAGACGGCCGTCGCGCTGTGTGTCGGCGAGGGCAAGGGCGACTGGGGCCCGTTGACGCTGTATGCGCTCATGCGCAACGGCGACGTCGTGTCGATGTGTCCGTTCCTCCCCAAAAAGGCGTGCGTCCTCGTCGTCGCAGCCGCGTCTCCTCTCGGCCCTTTGTCAGGCCCGCGAACTGACTCATGCTTTCGTTCGGTGGCACAGGTCGCTCACGCCCAACTACGTCCACGCCCTGTCGGCCTTCGTGTCGACCAAGGTCGACTACCTCTCGTCCGCCTCGCCCTTCCCCGCCCTCGAGAAACGCTACAGCCTCCAGCAGCAGTACGTCAGCTCGCTCGTCCGCCAAGTGACGACCTCTGGGCCGCCCGCCTTCGCCACCGACCTCGGCCTCGACCGCGCCGACGACGACGACGACTCGCACGACCCGTCGACGCCCCGGGACGTCGTGTCGCCCTCGCGCCCCGCGTTGGCGCCCCGGCTCCAGGGCCCGTTCCTCCTCCAGCCGGCGCCCGCAGAGCTCGACAACGGCGCCGACGGCGCGGCGTGCGACCTCGCGTACCTCGCCCATGCGGCGCCGTCGGGCGAGGCGGGCGACGGCGAGGCCGACGGCGAGGCCGACGGCGAGGAGGAGATGGGCGAGGGCGTCGGCGTGCTCGCGATCGCGTACCGCGACGGCAAGGTCGACCTGTGCCTCGAGGTCGAGAAGGTCGAGGCGCGCTTTGTCGGCGAGGCGCCGCCTCCCGCCGCCCCGGCCGCCGCCCTCGCGAGCTCGTCTCGCTCTGGCGCGCTCGTCCTGCGCAACCGCTCGACGCCCCGACGCGGCGGCGGGTTCGGCGCCGCCAACCTCGACTCGGACGACGACGACGAGCCCGCCGACGCCAATGCCGACGACGCCGACGACGCCGCCGACCTGCCGACGCTCGCCGTGTTCGAGTCGATCGACCTCGGCCTCGCGACGGCGCTCTCGCCCGCCGGGTCCGAGCACGTCGTCGCGCGCGCGCTCGCGCACAACGCGCCCGTCTTCGCGCGCGACCCGCTGTACGGCGCCGACACGCTGTACGTGCGGCACGCGCTCGGCGCGCACTGCCTGTTCCTCGGCCCGTGGTTGGCGCCCATGGCCGAGGCGCTGAGGAGTGCGGCGAGGAGGGGCGAGGACGGCGGCGACGAGGGGCAGGACGACGACGAGAAGCTCGAGAGGGAGCTGAGGGAGGGGTTGCTCGGCGCGCAGGGCGGGACTGAGGTGTGCTGGGTGCTCAAGACGGTCGGTGCGCATGGAGAGGAGGACGCGCACGAGGGTGAGGGCGCCGCCTCCGCCGCGCAGCCGGTCGAAGGCCTCGCGCTCCTGAACGACGTGTACCTCGGGTACTCGCTCGTGCTCGTCACGGCCGCGCTGCAGCCCGTCGGCATCGAGCTCGCGCTGCGCATCGACGCCTCGGCGACCGCGTTCGACGACGCATCCGCTGCCGCCAGGTCCGCAACACCGGCCAAGCCCGCCGCCGCCGCCGCCTCCTCGACCGAGCCCGCCTACGTCTCGCTCCTGTCGCAGACCCCGTTCACCGTCCCCGCCATCCTCTCTCGCCCGCGCACCGCCGCCCCGCTCGTCCCTCGCCTCCCGTCCACGTCGTCCGAGCTGCGCGTGACGCCCGACACGCTGCGACAGCTCGGCAAGCACGTCTCGGCGACGCAGACGGCCCTGCGCGACCTCGTCGCCGCGTCGGGCGTCGTCTCGGCGCGCGTCGAGCTCCAGATGAGGGAGCTCAAGCGCCAGGTCGACAAGGTGCGCGAGCTCGACGAGCGGCGTGCAGAGCTCGGCAGGAGCGTCGGTGCGGGCGCCGGTGCCGGGGCGGGTGCGGGTGACGGGGCAGCGGGCGGCGTCGAGGCGAGGGTGCGCGCGGCCGAGGAGAGGCAGCACGCGCTCCTCGCGCGCACGGACCGCGTCCTGCAGCGGCTCGTCGAGAGCCACCAGCCGCAGGTGAGCGCCGTCGAGCGCAAATGGTTCGACGAGCTCGAGCGCCTCAGCGACCAGGTCGACGGCGGCGTCAGCGACGACGAGGACCGCAGCTGGTCGGCGGCCGTGGCGGCGGCGGCGACGGGAGGAGGGTCAGGTGCGGCGCCGCTCGCGTTGAGGGCGCAGCGGCTCGAGGCGCAGATGGAGCTGCTGCGGCCGGCGCTCGAGGAGCTGAGGCGCAAGGAGGAGGTCAAGCGGGCGGCGGGAACGCCGGCGCGCAACGGCGCGGGCGGCATGGGCCAGTTGCAGCTCGCTCGGGTCGAGGGCTTGCTCTCAGACGAGTGCGTCCTCTCTCTCTCTCTCTTCCCCTCTTGTGGACACGTTTACTGACTGTTTGCCCACCTCGCCTCAGGGCAAAGATCCTCGCCGACGCCAAGCGCAAGGTCGAGCGCCTCACGAGCGCCCTCGCCTCTGCGTCTCTTTGCGGCTGAATGCAACGCCGCGTGTTCCTTATTGCCTTCTCTACTCGCGAACCGCTTGCCTCGAGCCTGAGCGAGGGTCGATGCAGAGAGAAGCCGGCACTTGCTCGAGAGACAGAGAGGGAAGCGCGAGAGTACTCGTCCCGGCGCCGCACGTACAGCGCAAACGCACGCAGCCTCAACGGGCCAGCTGTTCCCAGTCCATCCAGATGCCGTAGAGAGCGACAGCGAGCGAGGACGCTGTCGTCGGGATGTCCGGCGAGAGGGCCCGGCGCGTTCGCGCTCAGCTCTCGGCGTCCGCCTCGATTCGCCTCCTCGCGCCCCGCTCCTCTGTCCGCCTTTCTGCTCTGCTTCCCTCACTCTCGCCGACCTGTGCCCGCAACCGCACACCTCCGCACCAAGCACTAGTGCGTCCATCCACCTGACTGCGGTGCAGGTCCGAGCACGCGCTCACCTCGCCTCCCCGTTCCGCAGCCATGTCCAACACCACCCCGAACACCACCCAGAGCCCGGCCGGCACCAACGGCAGCAACTCTGCCGCCACGACTCAGCAGTGCGCCCTCCCTTTCTCTCCTTCCACGTCGGCGGCAGACCTGATCCTCTTCCGCGTTCCTGTCACAGGACCCTCGGGCTCCCGGTCTACAACGGCCTCCGCCTCGAGACCTACTTTTTGTTCATTTATGGCGAGGACGTGATCCACCACGCCATGGACACGGGCGACCTCGCCGAGATCGACGAGGAGGACCGGGAGATGTTCAAGAGATGGCTCAACGGCGAGTACGATGAGGTCGACGTTTGAAGTTCGGGTGCGTCCTCTCTCTCTATCCCTGTCGTGTTCAGTCAGGGACGGCGAGTACTGACGACGAGTTCACCCTCCACCGCAGCGCAACTCGGCGACACGAGGTCACCGCTCCTCGTCCGGCCCTCCTTGTCCTCTCCTCCCGCTGGCTAGTTCCCGCAATGACAGCCTCGCCCGACTGAGCTTCCTCGAGAGACTGTGAGCGAACGAGAGAAAGCAGGCGCGTGCACGCTCGGCAGCGCTCGTGCGTCTTGCTTTCACCTCTCATTCTCCTCGAGAATGTAGCGTGTCGCGCAATGGCTTTGGGAGCAGTCACGCTCGCCCTCAGGCGTTGGACGACGTCGCAGCAGCGGCCCACCCTGCTGAGCTCCTCCACGAGAGTTGTCTTTGCCCGTAATCGTCGCCGGCAGCCCGAGATGATGAAGATGAGGCTCGTCGCGAGGCTCTCTAGCTGGCTCGCGTGCAGCTTTGAGCCACTCACAAGCCTTCACGTACGACGACTATTCAACGTCCAGCCCGACGAAGGTCGAGAGCAGGAGGGAGAGCTGCCGTTCCGTCCACGCGCATGTCAAAGTTCGCCACGCTCGCCTGCTCGCCCTATTCTGCTCGCGGCTCCAGATCTTTCGCTTCAAAGCCCACGTGCACGCCCTTGCAGAGCCCCAAATTCTACATTGCAGTATCGACACTTCCTTGATCATCGTCCACCTGCTCGACACCGTGCACGGCGGGCCACCCATCGCCTGAATCTCCTCGACCATGCCCTCGAGCGCCAACCGCCACTCGTTCTCCCGCCGCCGCACGGACCTCTCCCCCTCGCCCAGCTCGACCGGTCCCTCCTCGCCCTCTTTCCGCCCCTGCCACGACATGACGCGTCGCTCGAGCGCGCTCGTCACGACGGCGAGGAGCGCGAGGTCGAACGGCGACGGGCCGAGCGACGCGTACTCGTTGAGCGAGAGCGGCGACGCGTTGACGAAAACCCGTCGAGGGCGTCGTCGAGACAGGTGCGGTCGAGGACGCAGGCGCGAACGCAGGCGCCCATGTCGTCAGGGAGGTCGGCGAGGGACCGTACTGCGGCGAGCTCGGCGCAGCTCGCCGGGGCGGCCGGGTCGTCGTCGTCCTCGCCCTCGCGCGAGTCGCCGCCGCCCGCGTGCGCCCGCAGCGCCTCGGCGCACACGCTGCGCGCAAAGTGCATCGCGAGGAAGCGCACCGGCAGCGCGTGCGCCCGGCGCACGTCGGCGAGGTGGTCGACGACCTCGCACGCCGCGCGACAGCACCCGGCGAGCGCCGTGGTCGTCGACGCCGTCGACGTCTCGCGCTCGCCCGCTGCGTCGCCGCACCTCGCCGAGCCGCTGCTCGATGCAGCATCGGACGCGCCCGCACCTGCGCCGTCACGAGCCTCGCCCGTACCGGTCGCGCCGCTCGCCGCGTGTCCACCGCCTTGACCCGTCTCGACGCCCGAGCCACCCTCCCCTGGTACCGCGCCACCTTCTGCCCGAGACGACGAGCCCGAATCCGAGACGCCGCCGCCGTGTGGGCCCTCGTCCCTCGCCGTCGCCCCTCGCGCCGCGCCGAGCCCGCTCGACCTCCTCGACGGCGTCGCGGCGCGAAGCCGAGCGCGAGCGCGGAAAGAAGGAAGCGGCGCAGCGCGAGTGTGAGGCGATGGCGACGGCGCGCTCGACAACGGGCTTGGGCGGACGAGGGGGAGGGTGCTGCGGCTGCTGAGGGTGGCGCTGAGGGTGCGGGGAGGACAAGGCAGGAGCGGTGACGGCCCTCGCCTTGGCGGCGGCGGCGGCGGCCTGCGGCGGGCTGTCGGGAACGAGGATGGCCGGGCGCTCCTTGGCCGCGGGCACGGCCCGCTCGACGAACGTCTCGTCCTTGGCCGGGTCGAGGAACGGCGAAGGCGAGGCCTCGCGGCGGCGGGGCGGAGCGTTGCCGTGGTCGGCGACGCCGAGGAGGTCCTGGGCGTGAGGCGGGCCCGGAGCGAGGGCGTCGAGCGCAGGGACGTGCGCGAGGTCGTCGGGGAAGAAGCCCGGGTCGAACAAGTCGTCCTCGCCCTCGATGTGTGCGGCCCGGTCCTCGCTGCCGACGCGGCCGAGCGGCTCGGCCTCGGCCATGACCTCGTCAGGCGGCGTACGGATGCGGTCGCGCGAGACGAGTCTGTCCAGGAGGCAGGCGGGTCAGTCTGAGGCGCAACGAGGTGGAGGAGAGAAAGAGGACGAGGCGACGCACTGCGAGAACGAGCGCACGGCCTTCTCCTTCTGGGCGCCCTCGCTGCTGCGCGGCTTCTTGAGCGCCTCAAACTCCTTGACGCGCTTTAGCTCGTCGGCGTCGAGGTCGCGAGGTGGCGGAATGTCGTTCGAGACGCGCTTGTCGCCCTTCTTGCGCGGCGAGACGTCCCTGCGGGTGCGAGGTTGAAGGTCAGTTCCAGGCCGAGACGGCGAAACTGACGCAGAGAACGTGGGCGCACTCGGCGGCCGACGCGTGAGGCGACTGAACGACGACCTTCTTCTTCTTGGCGGCGCCCCTCGACCTGGTCGTGTGCGAGCGCGGCGTCTGCTGGTCCTTCTCGTCGCCCTCGCTCTCCTGCTCGCCGTCCTGCTTCTCGACGCCGCGCATCTTGCTCTGGCGCTTCTGGACCCGGCTCGTCATTGTGGCGTGCGACGACGCCGCCTTGCGCGTCTTGGCCGCCGGCTGGACGACCTCGTGCACTGCTCGGCTGCCGGCTCGCTGCGACGCGGGGTCGAGAGCTAGGCGTGCGGCGGGCGCTCGTTGTCACAGTCGGTGCCGGGCTCAGATGCGAGGCGCTGCGGGCCTTACACCGTCGCGAGTGGCCTTGCACAGCGCTGGGGGCGAGGTCGAGCAGGCGACATGGTCGAGGAGGAGGTCGGCGAAGGCGGGGATGCGGGAGAAGTGGGCGGCCAATGTCGGGCGGCTCGACAGGCGCGAGGGCAAGTGCATCGGTGCCGGAAGCGCTGGCGATCTTGGCGGAGCGCAACGAGTAAGAGAGAGGCGAGAGAGAAGCAACGACGTCGTCGTCGGCGTCGGCGACTCCTGCGCTCCTGCCCTTCGTCGTAAGCTGCACGCAGAACCGACCAGGTGCGCTCTGCGGCCTTTCACCAGCTCGCGGTACCCTCTCCGACGCGGCACTGACTCTCCTGCCCCGACGCCGACAACCTCTCTCATCAGCAGACGCCTCGTCCAACCTCGCGTATCCGACCCCTCCGCCCTCCTGCGGCGTCCTCGAGACGCTCGTGCGCGTCAGCGTCTGATCGCCCGCCGTCGCGCGTCCTCCTCCACCCCATTCCCTCCCACCAACCTCTGGTCGCCCCGCACCCACCTCCTCTCGCCGTCGCGCAAAATGGCCGACCGCCCCTCGTCCCCTCGACCCGCACACGCGCCATCCAGCACGACCTGCGAGCAGAGCCCAGCAGATCAGGCTCACTCGTCGGCACAGATGGGCGCGGCGTCGCGGCCTGTCGTCGTCGACGGTACCGAGGCGGCGCACGAGGTTGGGTGCGACGGCGAGGCCGGCTCACAAAGCCAGGAGCGGCTCGTCGCACAGCTGGAGCACCACCTCGCCATCGCCGCGAGCCCGACCTGCGACGGCACCGTCGCGTCCTCGGCGCCGCCCCTCCCCCGCCCTCCTCCTCCTGCGCCCGCTCGCCCTGCCTCGACCCCTCCTCGCCCACTTCGCTCGCCAATGCGTCCACCCGCTCCCTCGGCCTTCGCCGACAACGACCCTCACTCGAAGCCGGCTACGGCCACGTCGTCCGCCTCGTCGTCATCGCCGCGGCCGCCCGCAGCCGCCATCCCGCACGAGCCCGGCGCAGCGCCGCCCGACGCCACTCAGCTCGGCGGAACGTCCCTGCGCCCACTCCTGCAACCTGTCGCGACGGCGGCGCCCGGCGCTCGTGCGGCGAGCGACGCGCTCGCGCGTTCGGCGAGTGCCCCGCCGCGAGCTTCGATCTCGGCGCCGTCGGCCGACGGGCCCGACGAGACGGCGTCGTCTCACGTCGCAGATGAGCACGTCCCGCAGGCGCAGCCGATCACGGCGCCGCCGCCGCAGGCCGTCGACGACGCGTCGTCGGCGCCGGCTCGTCGCGTGCCCCCGCCCGTCCCTCCTCGTCCCGCGCCAGCCCTTCTCCGCCCACCGCCTGCCGCCCTACCCGTTCCTCGCCCCGACGTCCCTCAGTGGGGAGCCCACCTTCCCGTCTTCCCCCTCCCGGCGGTCTGCTCTCGCCAGCACGCCTACCTCCTCAACCTCCTCGACGGCCACATGCGCCTCGCCCCCTCGCGCCCCGACTTGCGCCTCGGCCCAATCGGGTGGCAAGATCCTCGGGCAGGCGCATTCGCCGTCGCCTTCTTTGGCGTGCCCGCCGCGAGCGTGCTGCACGACGCGTACTCGGCCGTCCAGGTCCTGTGGCGGCAGCTCGAGAGCCTCGGGTTCGAGGGCGCGCGCCCGACGCACGCGAGAGGGGTGCGCCAGACGTCGCGCATGTGCGGGTGGACGGTGGTCGCGTGGGAGACCGTGGAGGATGCCGAGGTGCGCACCCCTTCCTCTCCTCCCTCTCGCTCGAGTTCGCCTTTTCGGCGGGCGCTGACTCTGCTTCGCCCACAGACAGCATGCACCCTTTTCACGCCGCCCGTGTCGCCCGTCCTCACGTGCGACACACTCGAGCCGTTCGCGCTGCCGGTGCCGTCGCCGACGTGGCGGGCTTGCGACATCCTCGTCTCGAGGCCGCCGCTTCAGGCGGCTTCGCCTCGCTCTGCAGGTGCGTCCCCTCTGTCCTCTCTCCCCTCTGTCCTCTCTCCCCTCCTCTCTCGACCCTCGTCCGCCTCGTCGAGCGCGAGCTCATGTCGAGACGCCCTTTGCGCAGTTCTCGCTCCGCCGCAACCAGCCCACGCCTACCCGACGCCCGCACCTTACCCCGTCCAGCAGTACGCACACGTCGCCAATGCCTACCCCTACACCTCGAACCACCTCCCTCACCCTCTCCCGATCTCGCCCTGGCACGGCTTCCCGCCTCAACAGCACCCGCCGCCGCCGACCTCGTTCGGCTTCACGCCTCACATTGGGAACTTCTACCCTTCCTCGACCATCTTCCAGCCGGCTCATCTGCAATCTGGGCCGATCCTCTACTCGCAAGCTGCGGCCGGCTGGCCGTCGCACGTCGCCGCCCCGTTCCCGACCGCCGTTGCGCCGCCGCCGGCCGGCTTTACCGCACCCGACTACGGGCCTCGGGTGTTGCCCGATTACGCCGCTCTTGCGGCCGAGGTTCTCGCAGGGCGCGTCGGCGGCGCGAACGCGGCCGCGGCCGGTCGCGCGGCGCCGAGGGCGTCGGGCTCGACGCGCATCGAGGGACGCGCATCGGCGACCAGTGCGGGGCGCTCGAGTGCAGAGCATGGAGCGAGGAGTGGAGCTGGGACGTCGGCTGCCGCTGCGGCGGACGGTGGAGCGCGAGCTGGGTCGGCGGCGAGCTCTGCTGCGGGCGAGGGAGCCGCGACGAGGCACCCGCCGAGCGAGTAGCTGAGGGCGGTGTTTGTAACGACGACGCGCTTGTGCTGCACGACCGTCTCGAGCGCGCGCCGAGAGCTCACCGAGAGTTCGCCGAGTTTAGCTCACGCAGCCAGGTTGGCGCGTTTGCGAGCGCAGAGCACGACTCTCAGCGGAAGCGCAGCTGTAGTTCGGCTGTTGTAGCGAGTAGAGAGTATCGAGCATTCTAGAGTCGGAGCAGGGAGCGAGGAACGGGAGAGAAAGCGAGTTGAGAAGGCGGAGGTGCGAGAGGAGGAGGAGGAGGAGGAGGAGCAGGAGCAGGCGGGCACGAGCGTGAGCGCAACAGCGCAGCGAGTGGAGGGCAGTAGAGCTCGACGTGGGCAGTAGAAGGTGTCGAGCGAGAGGCGGCGCATGAGGCGCGCCGAGGGAGCGAGGAGGAAGAGGGGTGCGAGCGCCCGCACGCTCGAGCCTCTCTCCTCCCTCGCCTTGCCCTCGCGGCCGTCCCCGCACCTCTAGCAGCCTCTCCCTCCCTCGTGGCCTGCTCCCTATAGCTTCGCCGCCAGAGTTCCGCCCGCCGTGTGCGCTCGTCGTCGGCGAGCGGTCAGAGTCCTTGCGAGCACGAGCGGAACGCGGCACTTTCCTCACCTCGACTCGTCGCCAGCTCTCGAGAGCCTCGTCACCGAGAGAGTGCGACAGGAGAGGGAAAGCGAGAGCCAAAGTTACAGACACCGTAAACCGAGAGACGCTCAGACCCCAAACTCGCAGACCCCGAACCAGACACCGATTCCCACGAACCCAAATCCAGACACCGTAACCCTCAGACACCGTATCCCAGACGCCGACGCCACAAGCATGCAGAGGAGGAAGAGAGGAGGGGAAGGTGGGCGGAGTAGAGGAGGAGGGGAAGAGAGGGCGGGCGGATGAGCTCGGCGAGGCCCTCGCGCTCAGCCCTCGGTCGCGTCCTTGCCCGACTGGCCGCCCTGCTCGACGCGGCCGCCGGTCGCACGCTCAACGACGATGCAGTCGTCGTCCTCGACAACGACGCAGTCGTCGTCCATCGACGCGTCGCCGTGGTCGTAGTCGTCGGCCTCGGCGCCCGACGAGAACGAGGGCTTGAGCACGTAGCGCCCGTTGACGAGGTCGTACTTGTGCTGCGCGGAGGCGCGCAGGCGGCGGCTGTTGTAGCCCTTGGTGAAGTCCGAGTGGTCAAGCTGCGAGGGAGCGAGAGGGCGAGGGCAAGAGGGGGCGGGGCGAGAGTCAGTCACAGGCGCACAGGCAGAGACGAGAGAAAGGCGGTGCGCACAGTGAAGGGCTTCTTGATCCACGCGCTCGTCTCGGCCGCGAACAGCGAGCCCTCCCTCACGGGGAGGTTGCTCAGGGTCGACGAGTGCTTCTTGATCTTGCTGATCGGGCGCATGCCCATCAGGAGCGACGCGATGTCGGCCTGCTTCTTGTGCGGCTTCTTGTCGTTGTCGACCTTGGCCTTGTCGACCTTGGCCTTCTTGGGGACGGGCGAGCCCTCGCGCTGCGACGTGACGTTGCCCGAGGCTGCCGACTCGTCGGGCTTGCGCTTGAGGCCTTTGGGCACACTCGAGACCGTGCTCTGCGACGCGTGCGCCGTCTTGGTCTGGAGCGACGACGCCGAGACGGGCGTCGAGTTGACGGGCTTGGCCTTGGTCGACGCAGTCGACGTCGACGTCGACGCCGAGCCACCTGCGCGAGGCGAGGACGAGGACGAGTGAGTCAGGTGCGTGCGCAGGGAGGAGAGGATCGGCGGGAGGGAGAGAGACGAGGGCGCACCCGACTTGTAGTCCTTCTCGCGGACGGCCGTCTTCTGCTGCGGCTGGAGCGACTTGGGCGCCGACGACGTCGACGCCGAGTTGGTGCCACCTGCGGGAGGCGAGGACGAGGACGAGTGAGTCAGGTGCGTGTGCAGGGGGGAGAGGATCGGCGAGAGGGAGAGAGACGAGGGCGCACCCGACTTGTTGGCCTTCTGGCCCGAGCCCTGCTCGCGCTGCTCCTCCTCGTCCTTGACCGTCGTCTCCCACACGACGGCGTCGATCAGGTCCGAGTCGTTGATGTCCTCGACCTTGACGATGCCGGCGAGCATGAGCTCGTCGAGGTCGTCGTTCTTCTCGAGCGCCTTGTCGGCCGGGTCGATCGCGCGCTGCTTGCCCTTGCTCTTCTCCTTGTGCGACTTGATCGCCTCCTTGACCATGTCGGCGCGGTGCGGCGGGAACACGGCGAGGATGTGCGAGTCCTTGAGGCCGAGCTGCGCCATGAGGAGGAGAGGTCAGTGCGGCCGCCGTGACGTGGCGCAGTGGACGATGCTCGACGCACCTTGACGAGCGCGACGGCGAGCGTCGACGCGTGGCGGTACGTGTACATGAGGCACTGGAAGGCCGAGCGCTCGTACTTGCTCACGACGTTGACGGCTGCGGCGAGCGTCGAGGCGCGCGCGCCCTCCTGCTCCTCCTGCGAGCTCTTGGTGAGCGTCTCGAGGCCCCTGTTATACGCACATAGCGTCAGTAGGGCCCTGAGATGACGCGCGAGAGGACAGGGTGGCGAGAAGGGACGCACTTGACGATGGCCGCGAACTCGGCGGTCGAAAAGGGCTCGCCGGCGCCCTCCTTCTTGCGGCGCTTGAGCGTCTCGCCGTTGGCGTCGGCGAACGCCTTCTTGATCATGCCCTTGTGGTAGTTGTACAAGAGCGGCGCCGACTGGACCGACAGGAGCTTGACGTCTGTTAGGGTCGGCGAGGATGAGCTGACCCGGGCGAAGGCCTGGATGCGGCACAGGGACGCGAAAGAGAGAGTGGGACGCACGGAGCACCTTGGAGACGTGGCCGGCTGCGACCTCGATGTAGTCGCGCGCCAGCTTGTCGAGCGGGCTCAGCTTCTTCTTGGCGGCGGCAGCCGCAGTGACCTGCTCCTTGGTGCGACCGATGCTCGAGACGATCTCGACGAGGAGGACCTTGGTGAGCGAGCCCATGCCGTTGGCCTGGGTGTGGCGCGCGTCCATGTCAGCCCCACTTTGTAGGATAGGGGAGGAAGAGGAGTGGACGGACCGCCGTGATCTCCTTGAGGGTCGCGAGGACGTCCTTCTCGTGACCGGGCTTGATGACGTAGCTCGCGCGCTTGCCGTCGTACTTGCCGATGTCGTTGACCGACTGGGCCGGGAGGATCGCCGAATAGTACGGCGCGTACCGTTTGCGGCGCAGGTACACGTCTGCGGGACCGTCGGCGCGTCGTCAGGGCTCGACTCGAGAAAGGCTGGGGACAGAGAGCGAGGGTGGGACGCACTGAGGAGCGACAGGACGGCGCCCGCCATCTGCTCGGCCTTGGTGTACACGATCGGCTCGATCTCGGGCTCGACGGCACCGAGAGCGCGCACATGCTGTGCGACGGCGTGCTCCTGGTCGCGGTGCTTCTCCTCCTTCTTGTCCTCCTTCTTGATGGCGTGGCGCAGGTCCTTGTGCGCGTCGAGGACGGCGTGCTCGTGCGCAGCCACGGCGTACTTGGACATCATCCCCTTGAGGTCGTCGAACTTGAACAGGTTGGCCTGCAGGCGCGACGACTGGGCGTCAGGGCTGCGACGAGGTGACGAGGGAGGGCTCGGGCTGAGTCGAGACGCACCTTGATGCACTCGTGGAACGCCTTCTGCAGGAAGACGATCTCGTCGTTCTTGAGGCTGCGCTCGTGGAGCGGCAGGGCGTAGATGCTGCGATAGGACGATGCACCAGTCAGTGCTGGACCTTCGGACGCCTGCAGGAGAGGAGGGAGAGGGGGCGCACCTGGTGAGCGTCTTGTCGAGCGTGTGGGCGAGGCGGCCGATCTCGGGGTGGTCCTGCGAGGCCTTGACGCCTGTGTAGGACGCCCGAGAGCGCGAATGATCAGTCTGATTGGCCCCATGGACACCGTGCGGCGAGGAAGGGCAGAGTTGGGCGGGGCGAGTGCGGGGAGGGAGGGGAGGAGGAAGAGGGGAGGCGCACCGACGACGCCGCGCAGGAGGAGAATGGGGGAAGCGGCCTGGCCGCCGGGTAGCGACACCTCCTTGGCGATGAGGGCGGGGGTCGCGAGCGTCTTGAGCGGGCGCAGGTGCGTGGGCACGTCGTCGCCGAGGGCGAGTTTGGGGAGGATCGAGGCGAGGTTGCGGATCTTGTCGGGCGGCGCGCTGCCGGCGACCTGCAGGTCGAGGAGCGGCATCAGTACGACGATCGACGGTCATGGAGAAGATCCGAGAGTGCGGCGAGACGCGCGGCGAGTGGTACGGCGACCCGAAGGAGGAGGGGGAGGGGAGGACGAGGGGAAGGACGAGAGTACGGAGGTGGGACTCACGATCGGTGGCATGGTGGGTGCGGAGCGACCTGCTGGTGACGGGGAAGTGGGCTGCGCGGGCGCAATGGGCGAGGAGGTCGAGGGAGAGACGTCGGCAGATGTGGGGGAGGAGGACGGGGAGGGGAGGGAGGAGAGGTCAGCGCGCTGCATGGGGCGGTGCGACTGGGCCCTGTGGACACCCACACTACGGCTAGGAGGGAGGAACGCGCCGGACTCACGATTCGAGGTTGAGGGTTGGGTCGGAGAGAGCGCGGAGAGGACGTCGCTCAGGACGCTCTCGCTCGACCTCGGTCGCGCGCGCTCCTCGCCTCCTGCCAGAACCCTCACGACGTCGACCTCTCAGCGTCGACCTCCACGAGCGCTGAACCACGATGACACGGCCACCCTCGACCTCGCCCAACGCACCTCGCTCGCGCTCCTCCACCGCCCGCGCCCCGGATCAGCCCACGGCCGCCGAGCTGCCCACCGCCAAAACCAACAAGATCCCCGCCGACTCGAGCACGCGCAGCACGAGTGGGAGGACGCAGGAGAGCCGCGCCGCGCGCGCGAGCAGCTCGGGCGGGCCGGCGGGCGAGGGCGAGGTCGGCGAGGGGGCGGCGGGCGGCGCATCGTCGGCGGGCGTGGGCGCAGCTCAGAGCGTGTCGGGCAGGGGCGAGGGGCAGCAGGAGGAGCAGAGCGACAACGATGAGGGTGAGTTCTCTCTGCCTCTCGATCGATCGCGCGCCGCCGCGGTCGTCGCGCGCGGGTCAAGTACTCCTCCTCCTCCCTCGCCTCGCACGCTCACCACGGCTCGGTCGCCTCGCAGGTGCAGATGATGCCGACCTCGACGACGTGTCCGTCCTTGGCGACGACGAGGCGCTCGGCGATGACGAGGACGAGGACGTCGAGCCGCCGTCACCCGAGGCCGACGCCGCCTTCTTCGCCAAGCACACGGCGCCGCTCGTCCAGGCGTACCTCGACAAGTGCGAGACTGCTGCCGAGGTGCGCCTCCACTCCTCCTCTTTGTCTGTCAGGGCCGGGACTGACCTCAGCTGCCCTCGCAGTTGCCCGAGCACCTGCGCATCTGGCTGCAAGTGCAGCGTCGCGAGTACCTGCAACACGCCGACATGTGGAAGTGCGTCCCTCTTGTCTCCCTGTCGTCGTCGTCGCCGAGCGGCAGAGGGAAGCTGACCCTTCTGTTCCACAGGCTCGTCTCATCGTCGCTCAACTCGGCCATCCTCTTGCTCGAGCGCCAGGGCGATTGGGCCTCGATGAGCTTCGACCGCTTCTACCAGGAGGTCTGCAAGATCAAGCTGTGCGTCCCTCCTCCATGCCCTCGGCGGAACGTGCAGCACTGACCCTTCCCTCGACCTTTTCCCCTTGCCCCACTTCTTCCCTCTCCTGTTGGCGACACTCGCGCCGCACAGCTCGAACGGCACGCAGGTCGAGATCCTCAAGGCCGGCGTTAGCTTCGTCTACGCCCTGATCACGAACGCCAACATCTACAAGGCGTACAAGCCGTGCGTCCTCGCTCGGCCTCTCGATCCTTTCCTCGCCCGGCCTGACCTCTGCGTGCCCGTCGACAGGATTCTGCAGTGCGAGACGGACGACCAGCTTCTCGCCTTTGCGGTCAAGTGGAAGGTGTTGCTCAAGAACGCGCCCGAGCTCTCGACTTTTGGCCGTGCCGCGGTGTACGTCCTCTCGGCGAAGGTGCGCCCGCCCTCTCTCTTTCTCTCTGCCCTACAGGTCTCTTTTCTGACTCTCTGGTTCACTGCAGGAGCGTCGCTACGCAGGCTACACCTTCATCACCGGTACCTCGAGGTGCGCCGCGCACGAGACGACGCCCATCAGCGAGAAGATGGGGAAGGCGCGCAAGGGTGCGTCCGTGTCTCCCTCCCCATGACGCACCTGACTCGAACTGACGGCATCTCACTCGCGCAGAGGTGCCCTGGGCCGAGTGGAAGAAGCAGGTCATCTTCACCGTGCCGGCCGCTGTCAGCAACGACGCCGGCCCGGCCCTGTTCCTCGTCATCGAGCATCTCGTCATCACGACGAATGACCTCACCAACGGCATCGGCCTCAACACGCGCCCGTTCGACAGCCACTCGTGGCGCTTCAAGTACAGCAAGCAGAACATCATCGACGCGCTCGAGAAGACGATCTCGCTGTGCGACACGGTGCGTCCTCGAGCCCTTCCCTCTCTTGGTCTCCTTTCTGACCCCCCTTGCCGTCGCGCAGCTCGGTACCACCATCTCGCCCACCTTCTTCGAGGACAACCTCGCGTCCTTCCGCACGATCGCCGACTTCAACGCCGTGTCGCTTCACGGCATCATCACGGGCGCCCGTTGGACGTTCTTCATGCGCAAGCAGAACGTGCCGGCGCACATCTTCAAGCACGGCCGCCTCCCGATGCCGTACCTGCCGAGGGAGGAGCGCGTCGCGCGCCGCGCAGCGCTCAAGGCGGCCGGCGAGCGCGAGGGGATCGAGTTGGAGCGTGGGGCGTACGACGAGGTGCAGCGTGCGAGGAAGGTGCGCAAGGAGGCCGGCGCCGTCAAGCCGCACGCCGAGCGGCAGGTCAAGGCGGGGCCGGGCGGTCTCGACACGGGTTTCCTCGATTCGTTCTTCTGAGCGTAGCCGATGCAGTACGATTTCGCTTTCGCTTTGTCGTTAACGAGCGGCATTTTGCCCTTCCGGTCGAGCGCGAGGAAAGCCGCCGTCGAGAGCGAGGAAAGCCGCCCTCGAGAGCGAGGAAAGCCGCCCTCGAGAGCGCTCCACAGCTCGTCTTTGGCTCGTCGAGCTGCCGCACCTCGCTCTGCAAGGCTATCTCGGTCTCTCGGTCACGACAAGGACATGAGCGCGGTCGAGCTGAACCTTGCCGAGACGTTCCATGGCGTCGACGCGGTCCGTGCGGCGAGGAGAGCGCCAACGAGTCGAGGTCGAAGCGCTGTGGACGACGCTCACGTGCTGTTCGCGCCATGAGAGATACCGATGCGGCTCGACGCGAGCGCACCGTGCGTGTCGACGAGCTGAGGGAGCTGGGGCAGGAGCAGCGAGCGGTACCGCCGAGGCACGTCGAGAAAAGCGCGACGACGAAAGGTCGGCGAGCGAAGCTGCGACTCGTCGTCGTCGAAGCTCGTCAGGGACTCGCTCGAGGTCGAGACGAAGCTCTGAAGCCCGAGACAGAGCTGCCGGACGAGAGAGGGCTTCTCTGAACATCATTCGCGGCAGAGCGAGCCGGACCTCGCAGGAAGGGCGGGACGGCCCTCGGCTCGCTCAAGGCCGGCGAGCGACGAGCAGAGGGGGAGGGAAAGGATAGCAGGAGATATCCCGACCGCTGCAGGTGCAGGCGACAGCGACGAGCATTTGCAGGAGAGGGCGAGGCGAGGACCCAAAGGTCGACGCGAGGGGCGAGCGAGAAGGAGCGGCTCGCGGTCCAAGACCGTGGAGGGATGGAAGCGGGAGCGTCGCCGTTGAGAGCGTCTCGGCCGCCGAGAGAGCTCGATAGCCGGCCGCAGGAGAGCGCGGTCGCAGCCGAGGATTGAGCAGGCAAGGGGGAGGCGAAAGACGAGCGGGTCGCGGCGGTCGCGGGCGCGCGAGGCTTCTCTCGCTCAGCGCACGATCGATGGTCATGGCAGACTGCACTGCATTGAGGGGGGACGAGCCAGGCATCTGACAGGGCGCAACGAGTCAGCTCGTCTCTGTGAAGGGAGGAGGTGGGGGACGAGGACGAGGGAGAGGGGGCGTACCCGTGAGACACTCGTCGCGCATCTGACCGTTCCCACCGTTCTCTCAGACAATCCTGCGGTGCTCCAACCGTGTCCGGAGCCCGTGCCGAGGTCGTAGTCGAGGACGACGCGAGTCGCTGATGAGGACGGGGAGAGGGCGAGCGAGACCTCGTGGGGCGGCGCGACTTGGGCGAGGTGGGGGCTAGAAGTGCGTACGAGCGGCTGCAGCGGTGCCAGACTCCACACGGCGGGGTGCGAGAGCGAGAGTCGAGGTCAAGCGCGAGTTGGTCCACCTCGCTTCTCGCTCCTCATGTCCGCTCACCGCCACTCGCCTGGAGGTGCTCGAGGGCGTTGTCAAAGAGACCCTGCCTGCAATTACTTCCTCAGCAGCACCTGAACTACCAGCGCAAAACGACGCAGGGCCTCGCGCCACTCCTCTAGTGCGTCCAACGCCCTCTCTCCTCTTCAGCCTCTCTCCCTCAGCGTCTCAGAGCGCTTCAGGGCGTCGCAGAGCCTCACAAAGCCTCACAGAGCACATTCTCGCGGCGAGAGGAGCAATCCGGGAGCTGTCGAACAAGCGCTGACCCTCTCTTCCTCGTCGACTCGCAGCATCTCGTGGATGCTCTCTGGCGCCTCCTTGGGCATCTTTACAATCGTGCAGAACATCAGCATCCCCATCAGTGCGTCCACGCTCGCTCTGTCATTGCCCAAAACCGCGCTGACCTCTTGCGCCGGCCCCTCCCCCTCCTCGACCTCGCCCCCTCGCCTCGCCCTCCCTTCCTGCCCTCCCTCGTTCGACCCTCGCCCTCCCAGTCGTCCAGCCGCACTGCTACGGCGCCCTCTGTGCCGTCATATTCTGCCAGATGCTCTACTACGACAAGGGCTACCGCTGGTACAGCGCCGTCGGCGCCTTCCTCCTCTACGCCATCGCGTGCAGCGGCTTCGAGGTCGGCATGGTCTACGCGTCGAGGGTGCGCCCACGTCCTCTCCTTGTCCTCCTCTCGCCCCTGGCACTGACTCGAGCCTCGCCCGCAGTTCGTCGAGCACCACCACCACAGCGACGGCTTGACGATGCTTTGGGGCATCTTGAGCGACATCTTCCTGTTCGTCGGCTTCGTGCCGCAGTTCATCGAGATCTACAAGGCGCGCGAGGTCTATGCGCTCTCGTACCTCTTTCTCGCAATGGTGCGTCCTCCTCTTTCTCTCGTGCCGGCCCGAGTCGAGCTCGCGTCGCTCACGCTCTCTCTCTCTCTCGCGCCTGCAGGACTCGCTCGGCGCCGTCTTCTCGATCATGAGCCTCGCGTTCAAGGACTCGTTCGACGGCATCGCGTTCGCCGGCTACGGTGCGCCCCTCCTCGTCCCTCTCGTCCCACCCGCCTTCCCAAACTGACCCTGTTGTCTCCTCTCCCGATCCAGCCGTCGTCCTCCTCGCCGAGATCGTCATCTTCCTCCTCGCTCTCGTCCTCAACCCTCGAGCGCGCCGCACGCGCGCACAGCTCGGGAGCGAGCCGGGCTCGTGCGACTCGTCGTGCGCGAAGGCGGGCCCACCACTTGGGAAGGTCGACGTCGAGGCGCAGCGAGCGGGTGCGGGTGCGGCTGAGGTGGATCCGGGTGCGCGAGCAGTGAGGGGAGAGAAGGTGGGTGTCGAGGAGCGGCGGAAGGAGGCAGGCGAGACGGAGGAGGAGGAGAGAGGGCTCGCGTTGCCGCATGACGAGGGCGTCGGGTTGCCGGTCAAGGTCGAGCCGGCACGCGCAGCATAGACGAGGCGAGGCGCTGTAGACTCTCTCGTGTACATAGACTCGTCGTCGACGCTCTCGCTAGACCGAGAGAGAACTCGAGAACTGGGACGACGTTTCAAGCTAAACCGGCTCCCGCTCGGACCCTCCTTCAAGCCCCTCCTCGATGTTCCTCCTTAGCGCTTGACCCGGCCGAGGCGAGTCGCGAGCAGCATCGCCGTCCTCGCCGCTCCGACGGGGAGCTCCTTGTCGACCGACGCCATCTCGCTCGTCGCCGGCGCCTGTTCGACCTTGGACCAGTCCTCGACGACGTACTCGAGGACGGCGTCGCGCACCTCGTCGTATGCACACGCGACGTCGCTGTACAGCTCGTAGATGGCGTTGGTCGGCGTGAGCTGCGACACGAGGTTGTCGAGCGCGAGCTGCTTGAGGTCGTCGAGCGAGAGGTAGTCGGCGAGGCGGTACACCGACTTGGGCGACGCCGGGAACGGGAGGAGCGGGCTCTGGGTCAGGGCGAGGGCGCGCACGGCGTCCTGGCGGGCGGCATCGACGGAGGGCTCGTCGAGACCGGGGCGGCGAAAGGTCGAGAGGAGCGGCGCGAACGTGATGTGGCGCGACTGGGCCCAGACGATGACGGCGAGGTAGGTCGAGTACGGGATGTCCCTGATCGGGATACGCTTGAAGGGCGCGAGCGGCTTTTGCTGGCCCTTCTGGCGGCTCGAGGTGAGGCTGGCGGCGTCCGTCTCGGCGTCCGAGTCCTCGAACGCGTACGTGTCGTGCTCGGCCGGCTCGCTCGACGGATTGACGACGGTCGACGTGCCCTCGACGAACTCGGACGACAGGATGTCCTTGAAGTGCGGAGAGATCTGGTAGAGCGACGCCTCGATCGTCCAAAGTTGGCGGCCGAGCTGGCGGAAGTCGAGGCAGACGTCGTTCTGGGCTTGATCAAGAGCGAGGGCTGGGAACTTGAGATTCAGTACCCCTCTGTGGGAGATCGGAAGAGAGAGGACGCACTCGTAAAGTGAGCGGCGGTCGTCGTGCGAGTCGAGCAGACCAGGTCGAGGTCCGCGACCTGCTGCTCGAGGCCGGCAATGCGACGCTCGACGGCAAAGAGGCCGTCGTCAGGCGTGACGAGCTCGATGTTGACCGTGTAGACGACGTGCTCTCCCCATGGCGCGGGGCAGATGACGGCGCTGCCGGCACGGACGAAAGGAAACAGCGTCTCCTTGACGATCCACGTGTGGACCAGCGACTGGTAGCTGGGCGTGCTCGACCGGCGTCGATAGACGCGACACGTTGCGCTGATGACCTTCATCGGGCGGGCCTCGCACCACTCGAGCGTGAGAGCGTAGTCGCCGAGAGTGGTGACTTGGCGCCCGACGAGGCGGTAACCGCCAGGGCTGATGCACCCGTCCAGCTCGGACCAGTCGCCCGTTGGAGCGCCGCCGGTGCACGTAACTGAGCCAGTGATGACGGGCATAGGTAGAGGGCGCGGATGAGAGCGAGGGAGCCCGGGTTCCGAGGGGAGAGCGCGAGCGCCGGCGAGTCCGCGGACCCTCAAGCACGAGCCCCTCTCTGCGGGGAGCTCGCCATCTCCGCGCTAAGCTGAAGCGTCGTCGATGTATCGTCTCTCAAAACTCGCTCGGGGCGGATGCATAGCCAGTAGCGTGAGCCTCAAGCCGGCGAGAGCGAGACGCTTGCACGGACCGCTTCCGAACCTCGCGTCTCTGCTCGCTTCCGTGCTGCGTGGGCTGCATCGACGCGAGCTGCATAGCAGCAGCCACGACATCGAAAGAATACAGCTCTGAGCGGCCAGGGCGCGACGACAGGCAGGCGGCGAGCGGGCGAGAGGTTGAACCGACGGTCCGCGCGGTCAAACGAGAGCCAGCAGGCTCGCTCTCGGCGGGCTCGACAGCTCTCTGCATCTCTCTTCTGCGTCAAGCGGACATGCTGGCCTTGCAGAGAGACGGCTCGACGTTACAGCGTCCCTACCTCGACCCATCCTTGTCGACAATCCCCCCTCGCTCGATGCCTCCTCGCTCCGACACGCTCCTCCCTTGCTCACTTCGAGGTCAGACGCCTCGCAAGAAGCATTGCCGTGCTCGCCGCGCCGAGCGGCAGTTCCCTCGCCGCCGCCTCGACCGCCCTCGTCGCCGCCGACACCTTGACCTCGCTCCAGTGCTCGACGACGTACTCGAGGACGGCGTCGCGCACGTCGTCGTACCCGCACGCGACGTCGCTGTAGAGCTCGTATGCCGCGATCTCGGGCTTGAGCTGCGAGACGAGGTTGTTGAGCGCAAGCTTCTTGAGCGGCGCGAGCGACAGGTAGTCGGCGAGGCGGTAGACCGATTTTGGCGAGACGGGCACGGGCAGGAGCGGGCTCTTGGTCTCGGCGAGGGCGCGCACGGCGTCCTGGCGAGCGCCGCTGGCGGCAGCATCGTCAACGCCGGGGCGGCGAAAGGTCGAGAGGAGGGGGGCGAACGTGATGTGGCTCGTCTGCGCCCAGATGAGGACGGCGAGGTAGGTCGAATACGGGACGTCGTTGATCGGGATGCGCTTGAACGGTGCGAGCGGCTTCTGGTGGTCCTTCTCCCGGCTCGAGGCGAGGTCGACGGCGTCCGTCTCGGCGTCCGAGTCCCCGAACTCGTACGAGATGTGCTCGGCGGCCTTGATCGACAGGTCGGCGATGCTCGACGTGCCCTCGGCAAACTCGGACGACAGGATGTCCTTGAAGTGCGGCGAGATCTGGACGAGCGACGTCTCGGACGCCCAAAGTTGGCGGCCGAGCTGGAGGAAGTCGAGGCAGACGTTGTTCGGGGCTTGACCGTGCGTGAGAGCTGCAGGCGCGAGAGAGTCAGGTCGGCTTGATCTGGCCGGCGAGAGCAGGGGAACGAGAACGCACTCGTCATGTGCGAGGCGGCAGCCTCGAGGGCGAGGGACGCCGGCGACGTCTGCTTCTCGATGTCGGCAATCTTGCGCTCCCAGGTGAAGAGGCCATAGTCGGGCGTCGCTATGGCGAGCGCGACCGTATAGTCCACCGAGCTCGTAGCGTTGGTCTGCAGGACGATCGAGCCACGCCGTGTCGGCGGGAACCACGACTCGCGCAAGGTGCACTTGCCGTCCGGGTACTCAAGCCGGCCGTAAAGGTAGTCGCCCATGTGGACGATCGTGCCGCTGAGGATCTTGACCGGCTCGACCGAGTCCCACTCGAGCTTGACGGCGAGGCCGCTGTCAGGCAGGCCGAGGCTGCCGCCGAAGGTCGCACGAAAGGAGCCCGTGAGCCCGGCAAGCTTGGCCGGCGCACTCGTCGGGGTGCGCTGCGAGCATTTCAACGAGGCCGAGACAGTCGGCATGCTGCTGGAGCGGGTGCAGCGAGGTGGAGCGGGTGCAGCGAGGTGGAGGAGAGAGAAAGGTCGAGCGGCGCGATGGCGACTCGGCGAGGAGCTGCGTGGCCGCTGCCGCTTGAGAGGGTGCATGCGCTCTGGCAAGCTGTGCAGAGACTTGCACTCGCCAGCTGGGGCGAGTCGCACAGCGCGCAGGAGGCGAGCGGGACGGCGGGCAACTCGCTGCGGCTCGCGACCCGGCAGACGAGGAAGTCCAGCTTCGTAGAGCGCTCGCACCAGCTCGGCGCTTTCTGCAGGTCGCCATGCACTCAGACGAAGCAGAGCCGCCGCTCGACCGACTCTCGAAACCCCCTCGCGAGCGAGCAAGGACATTGCTCCACCTCGCTACGGCCCTCGTTCCTCACGCCCCAACCACCTCCTCCCTCCCCTGCCCCGCACCCGCACCCGCTCCACCACCGGCACCGCCCGAGTCCGCCTCGCGCCTCGCGAGCGCCTGCAGCATGGCCGGCGAGTCGCGGTACTCGGCGCCACGGATCCGGAGGTTGTACGACGCTGCGGGCGCGCGAGCGGGTCAGGGCTTGGGTCTAGAGAGACGCGAGGGAGAGGGAGAGGAAGAGAGAGCGGGAGAGAGAGAGAGGAGAAGAGAGAGAGGGAGAGGAGGGGACGCACCGTTCTCGATCTTTGCGAGCGACTGGTCGAGGACGGCGAGCTTCTTGGGGAGCCAGCGCGCATAGGCGGCGAGAGGGGTCATCTCTGCGGATTCGGCGTGTCGGGCAGGAGGGTGAGTGGGTGCACTCGAGCCGAGGAGGAACAGAGAGGGGGAGGAGGAACGAGCGGGCGCGCGACGCACCAGCCTGGATCTCCCTCACGAGCCTCCCGATGTGCTCAATGTCGGCGAACCCCTTGCCGCCCTCCTTGCCCTCGCTCTGGCCCTGGCCCGGGACGACGAGCGACTCGGTCAAGTTCTTGCCGACGCTCGCGATGGCGAGGCGCATGAGCTCGCCCGTGAGGTCGGCGACCCCGCCGAGGTAGTCGTCGACCGTGACGTGGAAGTAGGGCTCTGGAGCGGGTGCGGGTGCGGGTGCCGGTGCGGGTTCGGGTGGTGGGGCGGACGGCTCGGCGGCGGAGGGGGAGGGTGCGTCGGCGGCGGCGGCGGCAGGTGCAGGAGCGGGAGGGAAGAGCGAGGCTTGCGCCTGCTCGAGGGTCGGGAGGGTGTGGTGCTCGAGGTAGTAGTAGAAGGTGAGGCCCTCGAGCTGCGAGACGAGGTACAAAGGTCAGCTCGCGGCGAGGCAAGAGAGAGAGAGAACGGCGGCGACGCACGTATTCCTGAATGCCCGGGCTGACGCTGCGCTCGTACCTGCGACAGGAAGAGTGGGTCAGGCGGTTTCCCGACCCATCAACGCTGCGGGTCATGTCGGCATGCGACCTGCCCGCGCGACTCGAGCGCAGAGGAGAAACCGATCCCGGGCTCACCTCCAAAAGTCAGCCCCGCTCACCTCGCCCTGCAACCTCGCAAAGAGCGCCCTGAGCCCCTCCATCTTTGCCTCGGCCTCGCGCACGACGCGGTCCCTCGCGTCGCCCGGTGCGGCGGCGCCAACGCGGTGCAGGACAAAGATGAGCTGCTTGCTGAGGGCCGTCACGTCGCGCGAGAGCTTGACGATGCGCTCGCGCTGGGCGTGGTGCGTGTCGAGCTCGGTGCGGAAGGCGGTGAAAGCCGAGAGGAGGGCGGCCGCGCGCGTGGGCGGCTGCTCGGGCTGGGTGTCGGGAGGAGGGGAGGCGAGGAGGGGAGGGTTCGAGGGCGGCGTGGGAGGGCGGGAGGAGGCGCAGGGGGGCGTGGGAGATTCTGGGTAAGTCTCTGTGCTGCGCGCGAGCGCCCAAAGGACCTGGACGCACCTGTGTCGGGGTGGAATCGGAGCCAGCTGATGAAGTCGAGGCGGCCTCGTCCACGGCGGCGGCGACGTTGGGCTGCATGGCGAGTGCTCGTGTGGACGTTTTGAGGTAGTGCGGGTGGACTGACGGTAGTCTGGCGAGCTCTCGTGCTGGCGTCGATTGGCCAGTAGGGTGGGAGGAGGAGAGCCGGGCGAAACGACGACAGAGCCGGCGACGGGCGCCCTTACGGCTCTTCTGTGCGGCTACGAGGGGCCTCGTCGACGAGTACAGAGTCTCTCACTAGCTTCCGGACAACTCTGGCAAAGCAGCGCCGCGTGTGAAGCGTCCTGCTCAGCTCGCGCGAGCGACTCTCGACCTGAACGCTCTCGCTCGACGCCGACGAGCATCGATACAGCCTGCCCGCCGCCGACATGTACACTCGCGCCCGCACGGCTCACCTCCCACGCGGCGGTGCCGGCGGCGGCGGCGGGAGCATGAACCCTCCGAGCCCCCCTCCTCCCGCTCCTCCTCCTGCTCCTGCACCGGTCGCCGGCGCCTTCTTCTTGGTCGAGAGGCCGCCGAGCTTGATCGCGATCGTCTCTCCTTCCTTGAGCGAGAAGTCGCGCGAGGGCTGGGTGGGAGCGGAGGAGCTGGACGACGACGAGGAGGTCGGGAGGAGCTTGGGAGGGTTCTGCCGCTTGGACCAGTCTGCCCGGACGACGTCGAGTCAGTCAGTATCATCATCTCGCGAGAGACAGAGAGACGACTGGAGGACGTGGGACGCACCCTGCAACGCGACGTTAAAGTCGAACGCCTCGCTGCGCTCGGGGAAGCCCATGCCGATGTAGGCGCGGTTGGTGCCGTCGACGACGGTGAGGACAAAGTAGCGCGACGAGTCGAGGACGGCCTCGCAGCCGCCGTTGGGGTTCTGCTTCGAGGGTTTGTAGGGCGCCTGGGCAAACAGCTCGCCCGAGTCCTTGTCCTCGAGGTGGAGGAGGCACTCGGTCGGGAGGTCCGAGCCGCGCTCGATGACGCGCAGGCGGCCGCGCCACATGGGCTCGGTCCTGTGGGGGTGCGTGGATCGTGTCAGTCAGTGTGGGAGGGAAGAGGGAGGGCTTTGAGGTGAGAGGGAGGTGGGAGGGTGGGGGCGGTGCAGCGACGAGGGGGGAGGGTGACACACATCTCGCCCCATTCTGCGGCACGGTAGCCCGCGTTGGACTGCCTTGGTGGGATCTGTTGCTCGGATCAGAATCAGCTCACGCGCAGAGCGGGCGACGAGAGCCGAGCCGGGGGAACCGGCCACGACGACTCGACGACGACGACGAGGGGAGCGCGACGGGGAACGAGGGGCGGGGCGCACCTGGTAGACGTAGACCTCGCGTGCGATGAACAGGATGGACTCGATCGTGGAATCCATCGCGAGCGAGAGGGTGGAGAGCGAGGACAAGGGACCTCGACGAGGAGGCGATTGTCCTCGACCGAGCTCTCTCGGGAGAGATTTACTGTATGAATGACG